AGAGAGCAAGCCTCCAGGTCCAGGACTTGAACCATGGATGGCCATGTGGGAATCCAGCACCCCCAGTCACCACGCCACTTGTTGGCCCAGACATGAGTTTTAAGCCCTGGGTCTGGGACTATGTGGGAGTCCAGCACTGTAACCATTATGCCACAGGCTGGACCCTATAAATAATATGTTAACAAATTTCTTGAAATTAAGTTTTTTTGGAATAAACACCATGCTTTATATTTACTAGCTAACTATTTAAAGGAGAAATACTAAGGTGGATTATTCCTAAAGCAAATGGTAAATTTCTTTCTTTTTTTTTTTTTTTTTAAATAAAGTAACCATTTTAACTGTAGTATAACACTTGTGCATGCACAAATATAAGTAACAAAGTACACACTAGGTTTTGGGGCTAGCCCAACATTATTTTAAGATACGGCAGTCTTTCTAGTAATTATTTCTTTAATACATTTTATTTTGGGTAATATTATTCTATTAACTATAATATAAAAATTAATTTGTATAATTACATACAGTAAGAATTTAAATTTTGGGGGCTAGCAGATGGCATGGTGGTTAAGGTGCTAGAATCCCACATGGCCGATTGTGTTTTGAGTCCTAGACCTGGCAGCTTGAAAATCACTCCAGGAACTTGTGCGTGCCTGCCCAAAATCCCAGGAAGAGAGTGGAGGAGAAGAGATTGCAGTGTGGCAATCCTCCCTGGGGGATGATTTCTCACTTTCCCCTCTCACTGACTGTCTGCTCCTCTCTGGCAACCATATGCACCCTATGACAAAAAAATCTTAACAAGGAAAAAAAAATATTTAAATTCTGTTAATTTTTTTGATTACTTCTTTAGGTAGTATGATCAGCAAAGCTGGAAGAGATGAAAGGAAAATGTAACATATACCCCTATTTTAGGAAAGAAAACTTAGGCATAAATTTAAAAAATTAAGTACACATTTTTCCTGTAGATCTTCATCTGGAGTTCTCTTTTTCCTTCAGTGTGCTATCAAACTTATATCTGCTTCAGGACCTTCTGCCTGCTGTTTTCTCTCTGAAATGCTTTCTCCTTAGAGCCAGACATGACAGACATACCTCAGGACAGTTCATATATTAATTATCTCCCCAAGGGATAGTGTTGGTCTACCTTACTTTATAGTGATTCCTTTTCCCTCAAAGATCTGTAGCATTTTATTGTGTTTTACATCCTTAAATACATTTATGACTGAAGTTGTCTTTCTTTTTTCCTTTGCTTCCCTCCAGTGGAATGTAAACTGTATGAGAACAGAGACTTCATTTGGGTTAGCCACTGTGTCTTCAGCATTTAGGATAATGCTTGATACCTAATTGATAGCTAATAAATATTTGTTACAAAATGAATTATTGAATGAAATTAAATATTCTCAATGCATTTCAATTTATTCAACAGTCTACAACTATTTACTGAGAACTTAGGTGCCAGACTGTTCTACACATTGAGAGGCAAGAGTGAATAAATCAAAGACCCTCCTCCCTTTATAGTGCTTAGTAATTATAGTGTGTGTAGGTTAGAATAGGAAGGACTTAAGGAATAAAGAGATAAACACGTGTTCTTTTTTTAAAAATTATTTTATTTAACTTTATTTATTTTAATTTTGACCAGAGAGGGACAGAGCAAGAGTACAAGAGCAAGAGTGAGAGAGAGAGAGAAAGTGAGAGAGCAAGCTGCCAGGTCTGGGACTCAAACCACAGTCAGCCATGTGGGAGTCCAGCACCCCTAACCACCATGCCACCTGTTGGCCCAACACGTGTTCTTAAAACGTTGGATATAATAATTTCTTGTGCTGACTCCTAGATGAATGATTTGGGATACATGGCAAGTATTTTAAAATTTTATTGTTACTTTGCTCTAACAATTTATAAAAATTCATTTTAAGAGGAACTATTAAATAATAGAACTCATATTATAAAGTGCAATAAAATTATTTCATTTAAAGAAAGACTTTTTTTTCTTTTAATTTGCAGATTTTGGAAGCATTTGCCAGTTCTTTGATCCAGAGGAATGTCTTAATGAGAAAGGATATACCCAATCTGACAAAATACCAGATAATTCTGGCAAGGGATCAATTTAGGAAAAACCCATCTCCAAATATTGTGGTAGGTATTTTTAACTAAATTTTGATGATAAAAGGTAGGAAAGGTAGGAAAAATAAAAGGTAGGAAACAGTAGTCTTCCTCTTGAATAAAGGAAATAATTAAAATATATTTCCAGTGATCTTCTTTGAAAACTCTTATATGGATACACCTGTCATATGCTCCCATAAAAGGAATGCATATATCATTTCTGTATGAGAGTGGTGGTTAAAAGCATAAGACGGTGGGCCAAATTTGGGGGCTTTAGATACTGGTTGCACTACTACCTCTTGTATTGTAAAATGGATGTAGTAATTGTACCTAATTCCCACATGTTAAGACTAAATAAGTTTGCACAAGAATGGACTGAGAACAGTGGTTTTTAGTACAATCAGGGAAGTCATGAGATATTTTTCTTTATGAAAGTGCATCATGACTTTCTTGACTGCCAGTTTTATGGCATAACTTGGTGTTAAATGCTATTGTTAAATAGTCTGACCAAATATGTCCTTTTGCGGTAGTATTTCTGAAGATAGACCCTTATCTGACTTGCTTTTCATGTCCATTGTATCTCAGATATCTAGCTCAGTGCTTGTATTACATGTAGTGGGTGCTTTTTAAATACTTTTGAAAGAACAAATTAATCTGTGTACTGATAGTAATTTTTCTATAAAGAGAAACAGTACATGATGAATGTTTCTCCCTTTCACCTATTCTTTTTCATATGTAAGCATCCTATTGAATTAAAGGAAAAAAGGGGCAGATTTTATTTTTAAATATTCTTCTCTTATTTTTTGGTTTTCTATAGGGTGCATGTGCTTGCTGGAGAGACAGACAGAGAGAGAAAAAGAAAGGGAATGTGGTAAAGTACCCCCTGGGGGATGACCATGCTACAGTCCCTTCTGTGTTCTCCTCTCCTGATTTTGGGCATGCATGCACATGCACCTGGCATGTTATTCAAGCTAATGGGTCCAGGACTTGAACTGCGCACTCAGTTGGCCATGTTTTCTCCAACTGCTTAACCACCATGCCAACTGGCTGGCCCAAGAACAGATCTCATATAGCAAATACATTGGCCCTTTTCCATAGTAACATTCTGTAACATTCCATTCAATTGAATCATTCAGTTATAGTATGGAAAGGAATAGTTATCCTGGTCATTTGGATTATATTGAAAATATTACAGATTAGTGGCCTGGTGATTTGGGCATAGAGTATGTATCTTTATTTTTTCCTCTGCTTAAATTTGACATATGCTTGTTTTTCTAGGGCCTACAACAAGGCATAATTGAAGGAGAGTTTGCGATATGTATTAGTTTATATCATGGTTATGAGTTATTGCAGCAAATGGGAACAAGATCATTATATTTCTTCCTTTGTGGAATTATGGATGGAACCAAAGGTAAATTATGTGAAATTATTTAAAGAAATTGTAACTCTCGGGAACCAGCAGTTAGCGTAATGGCTATGTTGCTGGACTCCCACATAGTCGACCACAGTTCGCGGCCCGGACTCGGTGGCTTAGAACTCACGCCAGGTGCATGTGCGTGCATGCCCAAGATCCCGAGAGGAGAATGGAGGACAAGGGATTGCAGCGTGACCATCCCCCCTGGGGGGTGATTTCTCGCTTTCTGTCTCTCTGTTTCTCTCTGTCTGTCTTGCGAGCGCACGCACCCTATAGCGAAAATAAACTCTCAAAAAAAAAGAAAAAATTGTAACTCTCATTATTTTTGTTAAAGACATGATATTGAACAGCTTAGATTCCTTGGAAATGCTTTATTTTGGGCTGGCTCAGTGGTACAGCAGTAATAAGCTGCTTAAGAGTAGCCAGATCCTACAGGGCAACACAGTTTGAATTTCCAACCTACTTGGCCTAAAACATGCTAGGGCTATATGTGAGTGCCTAAGATCCTGTGGGCTGGAGGAAAGGATCGCAGTGTGACCAGACCTTGTGGAGAGCACTTACCTCTGCTCTTACTCTCACATGTGCCCTCGCACTCTATCCTGAAAAAAAGGAAAAATAAGTTTTTTTTAAATGCCTTATTTAGGAAGCAAAGAAATAATTTGTTTTGTTGTTTTTGATAAATTGCTAGAAAACAGAAAGTCATTCATTAATGCATATTTGAAAATGAAACTGGAAAAAGTTGGTGGCTTTCATGTTTAAACTTTATTTATTTCTACCATGAGAGAGAGAAACAAGGGTCCCCATCTGACTCTTTTTTTTGGGGGGGAGGGGGGAGAGGTTTTTGCTATAGGGCACGTGTGCTTGCCAGATAGACAGAGAGACAGAGAGATAGAAAGTGAGAAATCACCCCCCCCCCAGGAGGGATGGCCACGCTGCAATCCCTTCTCCTCCATTCTCCTCTCGGGATCTTGGGCATGCATGCACACGCACCCGGTGTGAGTTTTAAGCCACCGGGTCCAGGACATGAACTGCGGTCGACTACATGGGAGTCCAGCGACATAGCCATTATGCTAACTGCTGGTCCCCCCATCTGACTCTTGATGCCTCAGTCCACCCTAATCTTAGCCAGCCCAGATCCTGGCAATCTATGTGCATTCCTGATTTGCATGTGTTCCAGGATGTGAATCCAGGACCTTTCCATGTGGATCTAGTTGCATTACTGTTGTACCATTGCCTAGCCCCTCATGTTTAAATTTGAAAAACTTGCATTTATAGCAAATTTTAATATCTTTTCAATAACTTTGATTAATTTTGCTGTTAAAGTTATTTACTTAAAAAAACCTTTTCTTAATATCTGAAGGAATGACACGGGCAAAAACTGAACTTAGCCGAAATGAAGACTTTATGAAACTCTATAGTCATCTAGAGCGTATGTTTGCTCATGCACGTACTACTTCAGCAAGTGATATTTCTGGTATTCAAAAAGGTCTGGCTTTTACTTTAAATTACATGTTTTTTGCATCAAAGTTAATTTTGAAAATTTGTTCCATTGATACACATGTCTGTAATTACATTTCTATAGCAGCAGTTGTGTTAAATGCTTAAAGACTTTATTTTGTAATATAAGATTAATATTCAAGTTTAAAGTTTAGAACTTTAAACAAGTTTGTAAACTGTAAATGTATAATACACGTTAGTAGTTATTACTAGAACTAAAAATTCTTATGACTATCAAAAACTGATTTATAATTTAAATATAGTAGTCCTTCCTTATCCATGGTTTTGTTTTCTGTGTTTTCAGTTATCTATAGTCAGTTGTAGTCTGAAAATATTAAACAGAAAATTCCAGAAATAAAGAATTCAGGAATTTTAAATATGCATAATTCTAAGTAATGTTTTAAAATCGACACCCCACTTTGTCCTGCCCTGGATATAAATCATCCCTTTGTTCAGCACGTCCACATTGTGTGACCATTGGTCATATAGTAGTCCTCTTGGTTATCAGAGCGAGAAAACACAGTTGTATATAGGATTTGGTCCTAATGTTATAGGTAGTCAGACACCTATGAGCAGGAATTCCCAAGGCACCAAAGAGAAGGGCAGCTGATATATCACTCACCATTGTCAGGGGTTGCAGCCAGGCTTCTGGTGCCAATAGGGCAAAGGTTGTATCTGACTTTTACTGCCTCAACTGTCATTAAAGGACCTGGAGAATATTACTTTCTTCCCATTCCACAGTAATGCATGTGCACACAGATACCCTCCTGACTTTTGGAATATTTGAGCATCTTCTGGAGGTGTTCAGCCAGTATTGGCAAACTCATCCCTATATACAAACTTGTGTCAAAATCCTCACTAGGCATGTATATCATATGCCCCTACTGGGCTCTTGAGTTCACTTTACTAGGCAAGAAGTGCATAAGGGCAACAAAAGCCCATGAACACAACAATGTAGCCAGCTATAGTGATAGACCTCTCTTCCTAGATATTCACAGCAAGACCCCACAGTAAAAAAAAACCTAACCCCAATCCTGGTATAGTTGCTTCCTGGTGACTCGCCAACCCTTTTTGTCTTGCTTTTCTTTTCTCTGCCTTGGGATAGGTCTCTAATCTGTAGTATCTGGGCACGAGAACCCAGAATCCTGTCATAATACTTCCCCATCTGATAGGACTATCCAGGGTTTCAGGAATCTTGGAACATGTACCCTATGATTAAGAGGAATTACTGTATGTATTTTTTTCCTTGATTGCTGTTTGGATTTTCTCTCGGAATGAAATTTTCATAAAAATTTAAAGTTTATTTTACAGTAAAACTTATGCGCTAACAAGAGGCTACTGACTGTTTAAATAAAAAGAGAAGTCAATATTGACATATTTTTTTTGGAAAAGCGTACATTAATTAAATATAAAAAAATTTTTTTCTTTTTGCAGGTGACAAAAACAAAATTTTTTTCTATAGTCATCCAAAGTTAAAAAAATTGGAAGAAATTGTAGTTGAACACTTCAAGTCATGGAATGGTAAGTCATATTTAGTAGCTTCAAGGCAAGACAAAATTAGAGCTAAAACTTAGTTCTTTAGTTTGTGCTAACACTTCTTATGAAGAAAGTAGAGTTTTAATTACCTTGTATAACAATGTTAAAAAGTGCTAAGAGATTTCAGAAGGTGGAAAGGGACTAGTTAGTATATTAAGAATATGGTGTTATATGAAAAGGAAAATTTAGAATAGAGGAAGCTGACAGTAAAATGGTATACAATATAATGGGAAGGGAAATAAAGAGGGTAAGGAGAGAGTCATGGAGGAGTGCTGTTTTTAGATAGAGTGGTTAGAGAAGGTATGTTTTTAGAGTAAAGTTGAACTGATTCCTGATGGAAATGAGGAAGCAAGTCTTATATATTTCTGGGGAGAGCCACAATCCAGGCAGAGAGAATAGCAGATTCAGGACGCTGAGGCAGTAGAGTTCTTGGTATGATTAGGGATCAGCAAACTGATGACTGTGGCTAAAGTAGTGTGAATGAGGATAACAATGGTATAGGTAAGAAATGCCCAGAGGCCGGGTTATAAAGTTAGTAGGCCACATCAGAATTTCTGTTTTTAATCTGTGAATGTTTGTGCTTTGTGAAACCCTTACAGAGGCATTTTTAGCAGTAGAATGACATGATCTGATTTGCATTTTAAAAGGGTCAGTGACGGTTGTGGTGGAGGTGCTAAGAAGTGGCTAGATTCTAGATACATGTTGAAGTTGGAACCAACCGTATTGGTTGATGGATTGGACAGTTGGTATGAGGGGGAGAAATGGAATCGTACGGTTGTATAAAATGTGTATATGCAAATGATTATATGAGCAAAGAAAAATTAAGAACTACATAGAAATAAGTATGTGAGGTAATATCTTCACTAGCTTAATTTAATCATTCCACAATGTGTACATATAATAAAATATATTGTACACTATAGAAACAATTACAGTCAATTAAAATAAAAAGAACCACATAGAGAAGAGCAAATATGTTTAAATGCTTTTAAATCATCTAAGTAGAGAGGTAAGTTAGATGTTGATTAAATGAATCTGGATCTTGGAAGAATAGCCTGAAATACTTTTGTATATGTACATAAGTGTGAATAAATTTTGGAGTCATCAGGATAAAAGTAATATTTAAAGTTTCAACAGTGGATGTGAATCATTATGAAGACAGTTTACATGAGAGGGTCCAAAATACAGTCCTGAAGCATACCAACATTTAAAGGTTAGAAGAAAGAAAAGCTACCAGGTAGCTTGAGATGGAAAATAAAAAGAAGAAAAAGAAAAGTGTCAGAGGAAACAGAGTACACTGTGTTAAATTCTGCTGAGAAGTCCGGCTATTGAGTTTGGCAGTATGGAAGTTATCGTTGCTGCGGTGGAAGGAGCTTAAGGGGAATGAGGGTAGAAAGGCAGGCTCAGCAAACTGAAAGAGAGGCTTTGCAAGGAAAGTGGAAATTGAGGAGCTGGCCAAATACAGAAGACTGATGTTAGAATGACTCATTGGAGGTTTATTGAGCATAATTTTTAATTGCTACAACTGCTATGTCAAATCTTACTTTTTTCTCCTTATATATTGCAAGTTTATATCTACTAATTTAGTTCTTAAAGTTACAAAGATTAAATGAGTTAATATACAAAATTCTTAGTGTAGTATACTCGACCCACATCATTTTTAATGTAATATAAATCATAAGGAAGAAAAGAGGATTGTCCAAGTTCCAAGGTAAGCCTTAAAACAAGAGAAAACAAGTAATAACCAAAAGCTGACACAACTTGCCATTATAAGCCAATTGCTGTGTGCAAAACTGCATACTTTATTTCATTTAATTGTCTGTCCATTTTAGATATGATGAAACCAAAATTTAGAGATTAAATATCATAGCCCTCATCACCCAGAGAGTAAGTGGCTCAGGCACAGAGATGATGTTCTTTTTAGTGTATTCTATTATTTCCTAAGCACAGACATTGGGAGCAGATTTGAAATTGACTGTAGGGTATATTTTTAATTTAACTTTGGGAAATTTGAAAGTATAATAGATTCAGGGACAGAATAGATAGTCTGGATTAAGACGTTGCCTTTAGTAAACTAAAGAAAAGAGAAGACTTACGAAATTTGTGGGAGCTTTACGGTTTTGTGCTTCTAACTATTGAGAAGGTAAGGGGAGTAACAGACATAAGGCCAAAATTGAAAGACTGATCAAAACTGATTTGGATCATTTATTTGATTTGCTTAGGATTTTATTTTCTGACAGCCAGTGAGAAATGGGGAGCTGAATGTAGTGAGAAAAAAAAAAAAGGCAAAGTTTCAAGATGTGTTGAAAATTTTTTTTATTTGTATGTAGTTTCAGGCTTATCTTTGGAACTAATTCTTATCTAAATGCTTTTTAAAAAGTTGTAATTAAAATATTTTTTGTTATATAGCTAAAAACACCTCTGAAAAGAAGTGTGATGAGACCAGAGTGATGATCTTCTCTTCATTTCGAGATAGCGTTCAAGAAATTGCAGAAATGCTTTTACAGCATCAGCCTATTATTAGAGTAATGACTTTTGTTGGCCATGCTGCTGGGAAAAGCATGAAGGGTTTTACCCAAAAGGAGCAATTGGAGGTAATTTTTTTTTTGAGGTAATTAATTTTGGAGATGATGAAAGTAAAAATACAATGGATTATCTTTGCACTTATACGTTTTTTTCTTTTTGGAGAGTTTTTTGCTATAGGGCGCGTGCGCTCGACAGACCGACCGAGAGAGACAGAGAGATAGAAAGCAAGAAATCACCTCCCAGGGGGGGATGGCCACGCCGCAATCCCTTCTCCTCCATTCTCCTCTCGGGATCTTGGGCACCCATGCACACGCGCCCGGCATGAGTTTTAAGCCACTGGGTCTGGGATGCGAACCGCAGTCGACTACGTGGGCGTTCAGCGACATAGCCATTATGCTAACTGCTGGTCCCCACTTATACTTTTTCTAACTCATGGTTGAATTGGCTACTTAAAGATAATTTTACAATAAACATGCTAATAAAATAAGAGTATTTTTGGATCAAGTCCATGGCCTGATGGTTAAGACAGCCAGAGGTGCCACCAGATGGCATGGTCGTTAAAGGTGCCATATTCCCACATGGCTGGCTGTGGTTTGAGTCCCAGACCTGACAGCTTGCTTTCTCACTTTCACTTTTTCTTTCTCTCTCTGGTAAAATTAAAAATAATAATTATAACAAACAAATGAAATTAAATAAATTAATTAATTAAAAAAAAAGCCAGAATCTCACATAGCCTTTTTCATGGTTTGAGTATCAGACCTAGAAGGTTAAAAATTATGGGACCAGCAGTGGTGTAGCAGTTACATCACTGTACTCCACACGGCCAACTGCAGTTTGGATCCTAGACCCAGTAGCTTGAAAATCACACTGGGCATGAGTGCACGTGTGTCCAAGATTCTCGGAGGAGAATGGAAAAGAGATTGTCGTATGGCCATCCCCCTAGAGAGTGATTTCTCACTTTCCCTCTCATTGTCTCTGTGTGTCTTTCTCTCCCCAGTGAGCACACACCCTAAAGCAAAAACCTTTAATAATAATAAAAAATAGGCAGGAAAAAAAACCCCAGAAACGAAAACCACTGAGCGCATGTGCACACCCACATGCACAAAATTCTTAAAGGTGGGAGAAACAGAAAGGATTATGGCATGACTATGGGGGATGCTTTCACTTTCTCATTCTCTCTCCCTCTCTTCCTGCCCCTTCAGTGAGCACACATGTCCCCTAGCCAAGAAAAACAAACAAAAAAACCTTACTTTGAAAGACCATAAAATGTGTTATAGATAGCTTTAAAACTTCTTTTTTAAAGTAAAGCTAAATTTAATGGTTAAGCAGAAAGACTTTGGAATCACATTACCTTGGTCGGAATCCCTGGCTGTACCATGTGTAAGTTTCTTTACTTCCTATCACTCAGTTTTAATTATCTATGAACATACTCTATGAACATAGAGTTTCCTAGACATTAAGTGAAATACTATAGAGCCATCAATAAAGGTTTATCATTTTATTGTAAGTCACTTCGATAATTTGTTCTAAACAAATAATGCGCTCTCTTCTTTTGGGTCTTTAAAAATTTTATTTTAAAAGTATGGTCAAAAGAAACCATGGTAGTATTTAAGGTAACCCCATGTTCTGAATGAGATATTACAAATTTTTTCAGTACCATGACGTTTTGAGGGAAATTTTAGACTTGAATTTTATAAACTCTATGCAATGCTTATAGATTAGTTAGGTAGGTCTATATTTCAATAGTCAAATTGACAATTGTGAATTTAGTATCTAATTTGTTTTTTTTTTTTTTTTTTTTGGAGAGGTTTTCGCTATAGGGCACGTGCGCTCACCAGACAGACAGAGACATAGAGACAGAAAGCGAGAAATCACCCCCCAGGGGGGATGGTCACGCCGCAATCCCTTCTCCTCCATTCCCCTCTTGGGATCTTGGGCACGCACGCACACGCGCCCGGCGTGAGATTTAAGCCACCGGGTCCGAGACGCGAACCGCGGTCGACTACGTGGGAGTCCAGCGACATAGCCATTACGCTAACTGCTGGTTCCCAATATCTAATTTGTTTTGAGAGATACTTTCTTGATAATATTTTGGAGTTGGTAGGGGAAAATATGCTTTGATTAAAATTCTCTTACATTTTCATCTAGTTATCTTTTAATAATTTTATTTTAGGTAGTGAAACAATTTCGTGATGGTGGTTATAACACATTGGTTTCTACCTGTGTTGGTGAAGAAGGTTTGGATATAGGGGAAGTTGATCTTATCATATGTTTTGATGCCCAGAAGAGCCCAATTCGTCTTGTACAGCGAATGGGTAGAACTGGCCGCAAACGTCAAGGCAGGATTGTTGTGATCCTTGCTGAAGGACGAGAAGAGCGTGTAAGTAGACTTGTAAAAACATGATTTTAATATTTGAAATTTTAAAAATACAGCCCAAACACAAATATTTTAGCATTCAGTATTGAAACAATCTGTAGGAAAGTGGTTTATCCACTCCCACCCCCCAGTTTTGTATTAGATTTTTTGTTTTTAAACTATAGTGAATAAGGAATAGTTTTTCCATTTTAAAGGGCTAGCAAAATAAGTACAAAGCAAAGAATATGCATCAAAAACAGCACGTGGCCTAGAAGACCTATAATATTTACCATCTGGCCCTTCAGGGAAGTTTGATGATGCCTTTTCTAAGTGACATAGAATTTGAATTATATTCATACTTTGCTGCAGTCTTACGTGACAGACCTTCCTAAGTATGATGTTATCCTTAATATTACTTTATATTGTCACACTAAAGTATTAGCTGGCTTTAATTCATTAGGATTACCGTCTAAATATATAATTCGACATTAAGGGACTTTTCATCAGCTACGATACTTTTTTTAGATTTATCTTTTTCCTGTGGAGTATGTGCACTCACCAGAGAGAACAGAGAGAGAGGGAAAGTAGTTAGAAATGACCTCCTGGTGAGGATGACTGTGCCTTAATCCCTTCTCCATTCCTTTCTTAGGATTTTGGGCATGTATGCACTTGCATCTGGTGTGATTTTTAAGCAACCAATCTAGGACTTGAACTACCTTAAACTTCTATGCCACCTGCTGGCCCAACTGTAATACCTTTTAAATTTTGATTTAAGATGTGTAATATATCATTTAAAGTCATTCTGAAAAATGAATTATTTTCCCTAATGCTTTTCATGTGATTATAGACTTTGTATGAGACTTATTTATTCATAAAGTGATCCTAATACATGAAATGTTGTATAGGCTGTGTATCATCAACAAACAGAATTAGATTCTAATTTTATCCTTTAGTCAAGTCACTTCTCTATTTTTTTATTTATTTATTTTTCAATATTTTATTGTATCACTAAAGATCTTAATTAGTTTAAAGACTTTCAATATGAACCACAGTTGATATATACATATTTAATAACACATGTCTGACTTTAGGCGTAAACATCAGTAAGTAAAGTGAACATACTATAAAGTAGCACCTCGCTGGGTCTGTATAGCTTACTGCAGTCATTAAATAGGTGTTAATAGGTATTTTTTAATGCATTTTTTAATTTCAAAAATCAAGTTTTAGTTTTAATAGATCAATTTCAAAAAATGTTAAGAAAAATTTGCTTAAAACTTAAAGCCAGGAAAAAGTATAGGATTTTAGCAGGTAAATAAACCTATCAACAGTTCAAGAGAAGACAAAAACCCTTAAATAAGGAAATCAAAGCATAGAAGAGAATGAGTAATGTTTTAGTCTAAAGTAAAAAAAAAATTCTATTTCACTAGCTCAGACTCATGTAATTTATCTCTTTTCCATTGAATTTGCATTGTTACTGTGGTCTGATCTTTCCATTTAAACTCTGGAAGTTAAGATCCAGCTCTGGACTTGTCCCCACCATTAGGCTGGACATTCTTTTGGTTGTGTCTTGTACTCTTATTTCTGTGTGTCCAACTTTGGTTTTCCTGGTATAGCACTCCTTTCAGCACTTTTTGGAGAGCTGGTGTGGTGTTGATAAATTATTTCAAGCTTTGCTTATCTGAGAATGTTTTTGTCTTTTTTTCCCCATATGAAAGATAATCTTTCTGGGTATAGTATTCTTGGTTGAAATTGTTTCTCACTTAACACTTTGAATATATTTTCCCATTCTTTTTAAAATTTTTTGTAGAGGTTTTTGCTACAGAAAGCAAGAAATTCCCCCACCCCCAGGGGATGGCCACACCACAATCCCTTCTCCTCCATTCTCCTCTCGGGATCCTGGGCACGTGCGCATACGCACCCGGTGTGAATCTAAGCCACCGGGTCCAGAGCTCAAGCCTCGGTCGACTACATGAGAGTTCAGCAACATCCATTTACGCTAACTGCTGGTCCCTATTTTCCCATTCTTTCCTTGTTTGTATTATTTCCAGTGAGAGGTCTGATGTTAGCCTTATGTGTTATCCTTTGAAAGGAACTTGACATTTCTCTCTTGACAATTTTGGTATCTTGTTTCTGTCTGTAGTCTTGGTCAATCTGGCTATGATGTGCCTCAGGGAAGATCTTCTTGGGTAGTTTCTATGTGGAGTCCTTTGTATTTCTTGGGTCTGGATATTTGAGTGCCTCTCTAGGTTTGGAAAATTTTCTTCCAGGACTTCATGGAATAGATTATCTATACCTTTCTTCATCTTTGGGGGTACCAATAATCTAGATGTTTGGGCGTTTAATAGTATCTAGTATAACTCATATGTTATTTTCATTTTTTGGGGGGGTTCTTTTCTCAGTCTTTTTGGTGAAATTTTCTAGGTCAGAGGTTCTGTCTTCTACATCTGAGATTCGATCTTCTGCATGGTCTAATCTGCTTTTGATACTTTCAACAGAAGTTTTGATTTCCTGTATTATAGCCTTCATCTCATCTCTAACAATTCCATTTGATTCTTTTTTATGATGTGTATCTCCTCTCTCAGATAGCGCAAGAACTTCCTCACCTCCTGGAACTCAGTGTCTCTTTTCTCCTGCATCTTCTGGAGTTCATTGTCTCTATTCTCTTGTATCTCGGTTAGCTTTGTCACTATGAATATTTTAAATTCTTTATCTGACATTTCCATGAGTTCCCTTGTATTCTTTGTGGACTAAGAGGGGTTATTCTTTTCCATTAGAGTAGAGATATTTTCTTCATTTCTCATACTTCTTATGCCCCTGCAGTGGTTTCTGGTCATCTGATGGATTATACGTATTTTTCCTGGCTCTTGGCTAGACTGGAGAGCAGGAAGGTGAAGTCTGGGCAGAAAAGTCTTCTGTGGTCGAAAGCCATGAAAGGGGCTGCTTTTAACTTAGATGTAGATGGTTGCTGATTGGCTTATCCTGACTCCCGGCTAGACTGGGTAGCAGGAGGGTGAAGTCTGGTCAAAGGATCTTCAGTCACTTGTCTATTCAGATGTTAATTTTCTTAGCTATAAAATAGTAGTAAGGGCCCACATTTAATAAGCACTTACTCTGTGCTATGCTGTTCTAAGTGCTTCAGATTCATTATTTAATCCTGTCAAGATTTCCTCAGGGGAGTAAGGATTAAGGAGTCAGAAGATGGTATAGCTGTCATGTCACTGGACTCCCGCATGGCCTACTGCGGTTCAAGTCTCAGACCTGGTGGTTTAAAAATCACACTGTGTGCGTATGTATACATGTCCAAGATCTTGGGAGGAGTAAATGGAGAAGGTGGGATTGTGGTGTGGCTATCCCCCCAGGAGGTGATTTCTCACTTTCTATCTTGCTATCTCTGTCTCTTTCTCTCCAGTGTAGGCATGTGCCTTAAGACAGAAACCTCTAGAATAAATAAATAAACAGCAATATAATAAATAAAAAATAGATTTCCTTTCTATTATGTAATTGCTAAGGTAGGCTTTTATAATAATAGTTTCCTGGATTTTTTTTTTTTTTTAGTTTTTTTGGCCATAAGGTGTGTGTGCTCACTGGAGAGGGACAGAAGTCAGAGACAGACAGAGAGAAAGTGAGGAATCACCCACCAGTGGGGATAACCATACCACAATTCCTTCTCCTCTATTCTCCTGGGATTTTGGGCACACATATCCATATGCCTGGCATGATTTGCAAGTTGCCATGTCCAGGACTGGAACCGTGATCGGCCATGTGGTAGTTTGCAGCTTTAACCACCACATCACTTACTGGTTCCTATAATCAATTTTGAATTTTTGTATTTTTAAAGAGATAATTTTGCTATAGGATATGCACACTTGCCGGAGAGACAGAGAGACAGAAAATGAGAAATCACGCTCCAGGGGTGATGACCACACTATAATCTCTTCTCTTTCATTCTCCTCTCAGGATTTTGGGCATACACATACACACACCTGTGAATTTTAAGCCACCAGGTCTGGGACCTACTAACTAGGAGTCCATCGATGTGACCATTACACCATCTGCTGGTCCCAAAATGATTTTCATCAAGAGTTAATGTAAAAGTTTATTAATATGTTTTGAAATTCAAGAAACAGAAATTTTTTCTTGGGACCAGCAGATGGTGTAATGATTATGATGCTGGACTCTCACTTAGTTGACTGTGATTTGAGTCCCAGACCCAGTGGTTTAAAACTTAGGCTGGGCACATGTGTGTCTGTGCCCAAAATCCTGAGAGGAGGAGAATGGATAAAGGATTGAGGCAGGCATGGCCATACTCCCCAGAGCCGGGGGGATGGGGGGAGGGGGGTGTTGATTTCTTGATTTCTGTTTTTCTGTTTCTCTGGCAAGTGCACATGCCAAAAGCTAAAAAAAAAAAAAAAAAAAAATGAAAGAAAAGAAAAGAAAGAGAAATTCTGCTCTTTATTTAGCTTATCAGGGTTTAATTTTTTTTTTTTGCTTATAGTAAATCCAAACTAATAATTGCTTATGATGACTAAAAATGATTATTACAGAAATAAAGTAACATGACATTTTATATTTGTTTTTCTGCAGACATATAATCAGAGTCAGTCCAACAAAAGAAATATTTATAAAGCTATTTCAGGTAACAGGCAGGTCCTTCATTTTTACCAAGGAAGTCCACGAATGGTTCCTGATGGAGTCAATCCAGAATTACACAAAATGTTCATCACACATGGTGTTTATGAACCAGAGAAGTCTTCTCGGAACCTGCATCGGAAATCTTCAATCGTTTCCAGTAGAGATGGTAAATAAAAAATGTTGCATTTGACATCTACATTTGTTCTTTCTGTTCTTAAGTAGCAGATCATATTTTTCTTTTTTTTTTTCAATGTATTTTTTTTTGGAGAGGTTTTCACTATAGGGCGAGTGTGCTCGCCAGACAGACAGAGAGAGACATAGAGACAGAAAGCGAGAAATCACCCCCCAGAGGGGATGGTCATGCCGCAATCCCTTCTCCTCTCGGGATCTTGGGCACGCATGCACACGTACTCGGCGTGAGTTTTAAGCCACGGGGTCCGGGACGCGAACCGCGGTCGACTATGTGGGAGTCCAGTGACATAACCTTTACGCTAACTGCTGGTTCCCGAGTAACAGATCATATTTTGAAAAGTATTATGTGTGTTTTCTTTGGAAAGGAAAAGAGATTATTCAGATAGCAAAGGGAAGGTGATTTTGGCAGATTAGAGTGATAGAAACCCATGATGGAAAAATTGAACATATGTTACAAACTCAGAGACTCTGCTCTACAGAGTAAGAGAAAGGAACCAGTTTTTTTAATGAGTTTTGTTTTTTTTTTTTTCTTTCTTCTGTCTGAGAGTGAGAGAGAGAGAGTCACCTTCAACAGAGTCTTTATGCCATGGGCCACCCCAAGTGTGTCCAGAGGGACCTTGGGAAGTGAACCATGTACCTTCTCATGTGGCCTCGGCATTAATGTTGCATTACTGCTGCACCAAAAGAAAAGAATATTACTATTGAATAAACATTAAACCAGATTACAATGTGCTTTGTAGATAATCTAAGCTAATACAAAAACAAAAAGAGATTCTCTCATATTTACCCCCCAAGCCATTGTGCAACCCTTCCCATAATTCTCAACATTAACCTGTTTTCCTATAAAAGGATTTGCTCAACATTCTTCCATGGTTTATCCCAAATTCACCTAGTAATTGAAGTGCGCATTTATATAGCTAGTTGCCTTTATTCAAAGGAATAATAAAACTTCTCTCTGTGACAAGCAGATACTGGCAGCTCCTAAAAGGGTGCCTAGGCCAAACTCCCATGCTGATAGGTAGCTAAGGACACTGTCTTCCTTGATATTTACATTTCAAAGAGATAAGTCCTATACCCTTAAGAAAATCATTTCTGGTTTGAAAAGCTAGGTAGAGGTTTACTTGACCTTTAAATAATTTACATACATATAAAGGATTGAAAGAAGGATTTATAAATAATTTAGTGAAAAAGGGAGATGAAAATCTCTTTTCACAAAGGAGATTTTTTTTTAAATTTATCCTTCCACCACATTGTGGCAAGTTTTGATAAAGTTATTAGATATTCAGACTGAAAAAGAAATTATTTGGTTCCACGAGCATGGTTAATGATGAGAGTATTATTATAATAGCTTAAGAACTGTAGACTCTGGAATATCAAGAAAAGGTCTTGAAAGGCCAGCCCCATAGCTTAGTGGTTGAGGGAGCTGGATCTCACATGGCAAACCACATTTCGAATCCTGGCCCCAATGGCTTGAAAAACACATTGAGGGGACCAGCATTTAGCATAATGGCTCTGTCGCTGGACTCCCATGTAGTCGACTGTGGTTCTAGTCCTGGACCCAGTGGCTTAAAAATCATGCCGGGCGCATGTGCGTACGTGCCCAAGATCCCTAGAGGAGAATAGAGAAGAAGGGATTGCGGCGTGGCCATCCCCCTTGGGGGGTGATTTCTCGCTTTCTGTCTTTCTTTCTTTCTCTCTCTGTCTGGTGAGGACACACGCCCTATAGCAAAAGCCTCTCCAAAAAAGGAAAAAAAAAAACACATTGGGTGGCTGTGTGTGTGTGCGCTCACATGTGCAGCACACCTGAAATTTCCATAGGAAGGACAAAAGGAGGAGAGGGGATTGCAACATGACCACAGGCCATTGTGAGGTACTTTCTGTCCCTCTGTGTCTCTGGAGAGCATATACGCCCTCTGACAATTTTTTTTTTAAAAAAAGAGTCTTAACTTATTTGCACTATAAAAATAGGGGGGAAGTTTTATTTTTGGACTTTAATGATTTTTTTCAATAATTATAAAAATAAAATAGTTTTATTTTAAGATTTAGAAGAAATCTTGAGGATTATCTGGTCTAATTATTTATAAGGTAGAAATGCTTCTGCTGCATTCTTGTGAAAGGTGCATGCAGTCCTAACTTGAATATCTCTATTAATTAGAATTGTATTTCTTTATAGGGTTCATTCAGTTGTCAAACCACAATGTATACTATAAGAGTCTTCCTTACATTGAAAAAAATTTACCTCTTCGTATATTTTTCCTATTTATCTAGTTTTGTTTTTTAGATATAAAGTGCAGTTTTCATCCTTGGTTTACCTACATAACAGGGTTTTTTTTTTTGTCTTTTTTTTTAATTCATGATAGTGTGTGTATGTGTGTACATGAAACAGAGACGTACCCTCTGCAGAGTCTTGTCACACTGTGACCCCCAATCGTCCAGCTCATTGGGCTCTGCACACACATCCTCTGTGTGTTTTCTGGCTGACCCAGCGATATAAATCTATGTTTGTCCATGTAGCTTCCAGCACTGCAGTATGCTTTGCTACTGGCCACACCACCAGGCTGGGGCAATATTTATTTGAAGACCATACCCCTCAAATTTGTTCAGCTGTTTGTTCCATTTTCATACCATAAGGTTTCCATGTCCTTACTCTCCTAGTAACCTGCTTTGGACTCACTAACTTTGTGAACTTTCTTCCCTTTAACTCAAATCCACTTAATCAGAATACACTTGTCCTTTTATGAGATTTTGCCAAATATTTGGTTAAAATGAAAACATAGTATGTCTTTTGAGTTTTCTTCAATTTGCAAAATTAATAATAGCATCAAAACTTGGCTAGGTTAGATCAATTATTTTTAGTAATCATGTGTTTATTTTATATTTAATATTTATAAGATATTAGTAGGAATGAATGGCAAATTTTCTTAGTAAAATTTGGAATTTGTTCTTTTTAATATATTGAGAAAATATTAGCTAATGTTCATTTTACTCTACTTTTTCCTTACCCATTCTTGACTTTTCAAGAATCAGTGATTGATCTGGCCAAAATTATCTTCGTAAATCTTCTGTGCATTACTATATAATTCATCTGGTCCTAGAGATCCAAATTTAATTTTCAGTGACTAGGACATAGGAGTACCTTCCTATTTCTAAAGTCTTAAAGCTTCTCTGTCAGATCTGAAAGAAACTCAAGAGAACATTTAGTTGAAATCCTTATTTTTTAGATGAGACAGATGCAGAGAAGTCATTTTTAAAAAACCTGTCGCACAGGTTTTGGGAATAGCTGAGACAGAACTTTCCAAATTCTTAATTTAGAATTCTTTCAGCTTTTTGCCTCAACTATATTGGGTAACAGTTCTTACCTTGTACTATTTATCCTTTCCAGTTTGAAAATTAATTTCTTTTATAGACTATTAGAGGGCCAGCTCAATGGCCTGGTGGTTAAAGTAGCTGAATTCCACATGGTCTATCTAATGGTTTGAGTCTCAGATCCAGTGCCTTAAGAAACATGCTGAGCATGCATGCATGTGTTCCCAAAATTCTGTAAAGAGGGAGGAGAAGGGATTGCAGGCTGACCATTCCCGGTACTTCTCTCACTCACTCTTTGTGTCTTCAGTGAGCACGTGCACCCTATATAATAAAAAAGAAACAAACAAGCACAGAAGAATAAATAATGCTTTTTTTTGGAGGTTTTTGCTATAGGGTGCATGCACGCACCAGAAAAAGAGACAGAGAGCGAGAAAAGTCCCCCAGGGGGAATGGCCATGCCACAATCCCTTTTCCATTCTCCTCTCAGGATCTTGGGCACACACGCACATGTGCCTAGCGTGAGTTTAAGCCACCGAGTCCAGGACTCGAACTGTGCCTGACTACATGGGAGTCCGGCGACATAGCCATTACACCATCTGCTGGTCCCAAATAATACATTTCTAGAGAGTTTTTTTTTAAGTGACAGTTCTATTCCGCTTACTCTTTATTCCTCATGTTCTCCCCTTATCTCCCATATAAGATTTAAACTTTTTAGTATTAGCCTTTTTTTGGTTGTTGCCCTCAAGCTAAAAGCCCTTTTTACTCTTGGTCTTTCCCCCCACTTCAAGCTTTAGTTAACCTTTCTAAAACTATTATGTTAGAATCATAATACTGGTTTTTATTTGTTATCTGACTCTATTTCAGGCCAGTTCTTAAACAAGAAAGTGGAAAGTCCGAAAGAATAGGGCCTGAGAAACTAGCTACCTGATTCTGTCCTGTTCATAGTCACTAGAAAGATTAGCTCCTAAATAGTACTTCCAACATTTGAGAGAGGTTTAGGAAGTATATAAAAGCAGGAAGTGGTAATAGTGATATTATATGGAGACCTCTAGTTTTAAGAAATAGATCACTGATTTAGCAGAGGTATGTATCAGAGGGGTAGAAAGCTTAAGTTAATTTTGTCTGTTTGTATTTACCTTGTGGATATTTTTTAACCTCTATTAAACTATTTTTTTTAACTTACAGGAATAAGGCAAAGTAACTTGAAGAAAAATTGGTTACTATCAGAAGAAGAATTTAAATTATGGAACAGACTTTATAGATTAAGAGATAATGATGAGATTAAGGAGATAACATTACCTCAAGTTCAGTTTCTATCTTTACAAAATGATGAAAACAGACCAGTAAGTTGAACGTGTTTATAGATGTGCTTCGTAGTGATTTTGCAAATTACTTTGGGATAATGAAAAATATCTTTGCCATCTTAAAATTGTCAGTTTAAAAATTTAAGAATGTACTGGATTTTAAAAGAATGGACCAGGTGGTGGCATGGTAAAGGTGGCTGGATTCCACATTGCTGACTTCGTGATTGAGTTCCAGACCTGGTGACTTGAAAAACATGTCAGGCGCTGGGATCAGAAGGTGGCATAATGGCTAAGTTGCTAGACTCCCACATAATCGACTGAGGTTCGAGTCCAGACCCAGCGGCTTGAAACTCATGCCAGGCACACGCGCATGTTTGCACATCCAAAATCCCAACAGAATGGAGGAGAAGGGATTGTGGTTTGACCATCCCCCTTGGGGGGTAATTTCTTGCTTTCTGTCTCTCTGGCAAGTGCCCACGCCCTATAGTAAAACATCTCTCTCTTTAAAAAAAAAAAAAAAGAAAAGAAAAACATGTCAGGCATATATGCATGCCTGTCTAAAATCCTAAGAGGAGAGTGGAGGAGAAGGGATTGCATGATGGCCATTGACCCTCAGGAGGTGATTTTTCACTTTTCCTCTCTTTCTGTCTACCCTTCTCTGGCAAGTGCACACATGTGGTAGCAAAAATATATATATTTTTAATAAAAGAGGGACCAGCAGATGGCATAATGGTTATGTCACTGGACTCTCACTGTGGTTCAAGGCTTGGACTCGGTGGCTTAAACTCAACAGTGCATGTGTGTACATGCCCAAAATTCTGAGAGGAGAATGGAGGAGAAGAGATTATGGTGTGGCCATTCCCTGTGGAGTGATTTCTTATTTTCTGTCTCTGTGTCTCTGGCCAGTGTATAGCAAAAATCGCTCTTAAAAAAAAAAAAAAAAAGACTCATTCGAGGCTGTTTTAATAACTATTTTTCTTATTTATTATATATTTACTTTTAACATGACTGATATTTTTATTGCCCTTTTTTAAAATTTTTGCCATAGGGCATGTGTGTTCATGGGAGACAGAGACCAGAGAGAGAGAGGGAAAGTGAAAAAGCACCCCTTTTTTGGGGGAGAGGGGGATGGCCATGCCATAATTCCTTCTCCATTTTCCTTGAAGGATTTGGGCACATGCATGCACACACACACACACACACACACACACACACACACACTGCATGTTTTTCAAGCTGCAAAGTCTGGGACATTTTATTGATGAACTTAGAGAAAGTCAAGAGGATTGATACAGATTTCCTATGTGCTCAGGGAACTAGAAAAACCACGTTGGGAAAGATTTTTTAAAAAATTTATAGGGCTCTCAGGCTAACCCATGGTCTAGTGGTTAAGGGAGCTGGAACCCACATTGCCAGCTATGCATTTCAAGTCCCAGCTCTGGTAGCTTGAAAACCACACTGGGTGCATGTGTGCCCCAAATCCTGACAGTATGGAGAAATGGAGGAGAAGGGATTGTAGCATGACCATGACCATTAGGTTGCATTCTCTCTTTTTCTCTGGTGAGAGCACAGAACTTCTAGCAAAATCTTCAGAAAAAAAGATTTATAGGATGTGCATTGTATGGCTCTCAGACTCTCTATTTTATTCACAGGTAGAGTGAGAAATTGTAGTAGGCCTGAAGAGCTGAAATCAATGTCACTAAGAGATTATGAATGCCTGCTTATTAGACTGTAGGATATAAATCTACTAAGATATGTTTTCTTTTATTTTTTAAAAATATTTTTTGATAATTATTTATTTAATTTTATTTATTCATTCATTTATTTCAATTTGACCAGAGAGAGATACACAGAGAGAGAGAGAGGGAAAGTCAGAAAGCAAGCCACCAGGTCCGGTACTCGAACTGCGGTCGGCCATGTGGGAGTGTCCAGCATCTTAACCACCACGCCACCTACTGGTCCCAATGTTTTCTTATGTATATTTGCTTTTAACATTATAACTATCTTTATAATATGGTCAAGTTCTAGCTCATGTAGCAGTTTTTTAAAGAATGTATTTAAGGGACCAGCAGTTAGCATAATGGCTATGTCGCTGGATTCCTACATACTCAACCGCGGTTCGTGTCCCGAACCCGATGGCTTAAAAACTCACGCCGGGCGCTGTGTGTGTGTGCCCAAGATCCCGAGAGAAGAATGGAGGAGAAGGGATTGTGGCGTGGCCATCCCCCCTGGGGGGTGATTTCTCGCTTTCTGTCTCTCTGTCTCTCTCTGTCTGGTGAGCGCACGCGCCCTATAGCAAAAACCTCTCCAGAAAAAAAAAAATGAATATATTTAAAAGCACATCTTTGTACTTGATGTAATTATCTTTTTATCACCTGAGATTTTAGTGGAAAATACTTAAGTGAATTAAAATTATTTACATTAGGCTGATTATCTGTACAGTAAGTGTTTTTTAAAATCAGTTGGTGAAATCCCAGTGAGTAAGTGTATGTACTTTCATCATTTTTATTATTTTTAAAATTAATCAAGGCTGAAGAACCAACCACTGGAATTTATCAACTCTCTCTCTCTGAATGGAGAGTGTGGCAAGATCGTCCTTTTCCTACACATCAAGTTGACCATTCAGATAGATGCCACCATTTTATAAGCATCATGCAAATGATAGAAGGAATGAGACATGAAGAGGTAGGTTTTTATCGTAAACTTCTCTTGCTGGTACAGTGGTGAAACTAGAATTCTTAACCTTTATTTTTAAGTAGTTATAACTAGATATATTTTGTTTTCAGTATAGGTCCCTTGTGATCTCAGTAGGAACTAGTTTTCGTCTTAGAAGAAGTAGACTTAATAATAAGAAGAATATCATGAGTAAATAAATATAGACTAGAGTCGAATCTTAATATACCTAATGGTTCCTGTAAACTGTTTGTGAAGCTCATTTAAGATTCTTGTTGGATTAGGATTTTTTGAAATATTTTCTATCGCCTAGGTCATTTTGTATCTATCGTATATCCTAGTGGTAGTTTAGGTTATTATTGATTTCTTGAACAGTTTCTTTTCTTTTCTTTATTTTATTTCTTTTGGTAAAGTTTACTTCTTACAGGAGAGAGAGACAGACAGACAGGCATCTTCAACAGAGTCTGTATACTGCCATCTATCTCTAAACTCAGCTGATCCAGATCAAAGACATGCGCACGTGTGAGCCTAGAATGACCAGGAAGGTCTTGGGATGCAAACCCAGGATCTTTCCCTTATGGGTTGAGTCGCATTAGCAGTATACCACCCCATAGCCCTTCTCGACCAGTTTTTTATTATTATTATTGTTATTCCTCAAAAGACTGTAGTTAAACCTATTATGAGAGTAAAATCCATAATGCTTAGATTAGAATCTTAACTCCACTTCTGACTAATTATGTGCCTATACTTAACTTTTCTGTTTCATCTATAAAATAGAGATAATGATAATACCTATTTCATAGGGTTATGCTGAGGATTAAATGAGTTAATACACATAAAGTACTAGTAACTGGCGCATAGTAAGTACTCAATAAATTATGGCTACTGTTTTTATTATTAACAATTGTTTGTTAATACATGTGAATAAAATAATTAGTTCTGGATCTCAGCAAAATGTGTGCCATCAAATTAGCACACATTCATACATTTATTTGTTTGTCCTCTGCCTAAAATATATTTATTATCTTCTATATTCAATGGTCTGTTCCAGTTCCCATGAGTGAACAGACCATATAAAATATTTTGCTTGAAGAACAAACCAGATGAAATATACTGTCCGTGTCAAACATATATATATATATAAGGTGTTTTCAGAAAATTCTTGGAAAGTGTGCATTATGAAATAACTATGCATGGATTTAATAAAAAGCTTTTGCACCAAAATACACTCATACATTAATTCAGTTTTCCCAGAACTCTTTGAAGTACCCTTGTACAAAGAAAGAGACAAACATTGCTTATATTATATTTATTATTCAAAATAGTGGAGCTAGAACTGCCTAAGTCTAGGAATAGCAGAGAAATCCTGACTAAAGTAGTATTCTTGGGGAAGACAACTAATGGTAGAGGTTGTAGTTTTAGCTCCCAACTTAGATAGGTGAAAATTTCAATATAATAATAATAAATTTTTAATATAATTTTAATATAGATGTGTAGTCTGTGAAAGCCTAATAAACATATGGTACCATTATTTTAGAAATTCTAAGTTACTCATAGTTACTATCATTAAGAGAATAAATTTAACAAATACATGCTTTTCATTAATATGTATGAATTTCTTAGATGTCTATTTTTTAAAAAGTAGAATAATTGTTTAATTAAATGTTAAAGAAATTTAGTGTATATTCCTATGTCTTCATTTACTTGGTTGTTTCTATGAATAGTTATCACAGGTTGTCTGGATTAAGTACTGGGTACAGAAAAAGCAACTAATGAAAGAACATAGTAATTTCATAGTAGAGACATTTGTTTATCAGACAAATATTTTAAGGTATACAAATCATTTGAATAATGTAAGGTTTAGAAAATATTATAATATAAACTGAAATTCATCTCTTAGAATTGACTTTTTTTTCTGTTTTGTTTTCCATAACTTCATTTTTTTCATTTGTAGGGAGAATGCAAGTATGAATTGGAAATCAAATCTTATTTACAAATGGAAGATGTTAGTTCAACATTTAGAGCTCCCAGAAACGAATATAATAATCTTGTAAACAGTATTTTTACTACTCACAGGAACTCTTCATTCACAAAGAATATAAATCAAGGCAGTTCATTTTCAATGATAGAATCTGATGAAGAATGTGCTGAAATTTTAAAGCAATCTCATGTCAAACCTATTAAAAGTATTTCATTGAAGAAAAATGTATCTAAAGGAATGAAAAAAGAACAGCCTAAAAAGAAAATTATTGATGGCATTATGGATTTTTTAGAAACTGACAGAAGTTCTACTGTCGAAAATATTTTTCAAGTAGACCTACTAAATGATAAAAAGATGTCAGATATCGATGAAGTTGGTAACACATGTACTATTAATGAAGATGTTATTAATCAGCCATGTGTACTATTAACAGAGTGTCAGTTTACAAATAAATCCAGTTTATTTGCTGGAAGTTTTTTAGATTCTGGTTATAACAGTTTTAGTGATGAGAAATCTGTTTCACTTAATTTATTTCTTCCATTTGAAGAAGAACTTAATTTAGCTAGAACAGATAATCAATTTTATAATTGTCACTCACTAACAAAAGAGGTACTAGCTAATGTGGAAAGATTTTTGTCTTATTCCCCTCCTCCTCTCAGTGAACTCTCAGATTTAGAATATGAAATTGCTAAGGACTCTGCACTTGATAATTTGCTTTTACCACCTGATACAGAGCATTCACGAAGTAAGAAACCTTGTTTGATGTCACATTCAGTGAGTTCTCAAGAAAATTTTGAATTGAATTCACTTAAGTATATTATTCATTCTTCTGAAAAAACAAATAAGATTTCTGATGAGCCATGCTTCTGTGACAATGATGATAAAGTAAATGAAGATATTCAAAATGAAAATTTGGCACCTAATAATCATATTCAAATGTCCATCGGCCCTGCAGAAAATTTAGTTGAAGAGAATAATCATGATGTTGATAACAATGGTCTCCCAGTACTGTTCACAGATCAGGATGAAAGTTTACCATTATTTGAAGATGTTAATACAGAGTTTAATGATGTGAGCCTTTCTCCTTTGAATAGTAAATCCAAATCTTTCTGTGTGTCAGACAAAACTGCTATAAGTGAAATGTCTCTAGTCTCTCAGTTCTTAATTTCCGATGAACTTTTATTAGACAATACTTCTGAACCTGATGATCCAATTATTGATGATACTAATCATAGGAAATCTCATGAAGATTTAAGAGGTATACGTGAGGAAAAGCTGAACAGTGATGAACATGTTTTTGATTGCTCTAGGGATTTATTTTCTGTTACCTTTGATTTAGGATTTTGTAGCTCAGATTCCAATGATGAAATATCAGAACATATATCAGATACAAGAAAAAACAAACTTCTGGGTGATCTGTCTGGAAGGTATTTACCTAGTAAGGAGAAAACTGATACAAATTATGTTTCAAATCAAGCAGTAACACTAAGAGGTAATGTTGCAGACTTTAGGAATGGAACCACTACCATCCCATCAAGTAAAGATATGCAGAGTCCAAATTTTGCATGTTTTCCACTGAATACAGCAAAAACTAAAGAATGTATGTCTCCTGGTTATTCTCAGTTTTTGTTGCCAGTAGGAGAAAAAGTTAAAAGTACACCACTTTCTGAATCAAATACATTGGATTCATTTTCTAAGACGAAAAAGGAAGTGCCTAAGATGCCAGATTCTAATGGTGAAAAAGTCAATCTACAAAGTTTAAGAAAAACATTAAATTCAACTTTTAATAATTCTGGACTTTCTCTGGAAAAGGCTAAAAGCAGTCATCAAATTTTTCTGAGTCAATCCTGTCATCATTCTGCTAAAGGTAAGATACCATCATTATAAAGCCCATAACTCTTTGAGAATAATAGCTCTAGAGATACTCCTATATTTTTTCCAACTTTAATGTTTTAGTATATATAAATTTTATATAAATACAAGTGTATATATGTGTGTGTATATATATTATTATTTATATCAAGAAAAAGATACATCAAGTGTTCTTAATAATTTATGTATATACACACACTTGATGTATTTTTTAAGTTGATTTTGCCAGTACAAGGCTATTTTGTATACATTTATGGAATACATGCCATGGGAAATTTATTTTGCTAGACTCTGAAATATACAAAGAAGTGAACAACCTGGCCCTTGTCCTTGGTTGTAAAACATAAACAATTATGGTGGTATATATATATATATATATATATCACTATATAGTTTAGGAGGTTCCCAGGATGATGAAAGGATTTTGAGTTAGAATAGATTGGAAAGACTTCGTTTACAATGCAGACTTTCATTTTGGCTCCTCTGGAATATTTATGATTTGGAGATATTGAAAATAGTGAAGAGAATTTGGATGTGTTGAAATAACGAAAGGGAAAGGAAGTGTAAAATTCTGAGGGAATAGTTTGAAGTAGAGGATTTATGTAGCAAAATATTTGAGAAATAAGATTGCATTTAGAGGGACCAACAGATGGCATAGCTGTTACATCTTTGGACTCCCACATAGCCAATTGCAGTTCAAGTCCCAGATGCTGGTGGCTTGAGAATCATACCAGGTATGTGTGCATGCATGCCCAAGGTCCCAGGAGGAGAATGGAGAAGGGACTCCTGTGTGGCTGTCTCCCCTGGGCAGTGGTTTCTTACTTTCTCTCTCTCTCTCTCTCTCTGTCCCCAAAGGCAAAAACCAAAAAAAAAAAAAAAAAATTGTATTCAGAGAATTGAGACTAGGCTTCAGAAGATCCAGAGAGGAATCTTTGTATTTCTGGGATGTAACTTACTTTTATTTATTTTTTTTTTGGAGAGATTTTTGCTATAGGGTGCATGCGCTCGCCAGATAGAAAGAGACAGAGAGACAGAAAGTGAGAAATCACCCCCCGGGGGGATGGCCACGCCGCAATTCCTTCTCCATTCTTCTATCAGGATCTTGGGCATGCACGCACACATGCCCAGAGTGAGTTTAAAGCCACCAGGTCCAGGGGACGCAAACTGCGGTCGACTACGTAGGAGTCGAGCGACATAGCCATTATGCTAACTGCAGGTCCCGTGTATGTGTGTGTTTTAATATTAATATAAATCAAGTACAGTCCTAAGGTCTTTATATACATTTAGCCATTGTGCTAACTGCTGGTCCCATCTGGGATGTAACTTTACATTAACAAGAAAAGAAGGAAATATAGTGAGAGGTGTTTGGCATTAAAGTTAGTTAATGGGCCTGCTGATGGTAAAGTAGTAATACGACTAGACCCACATGGGGAAGGTTTTGGGTTTGCATCCTGGGACTTTCCTGAGCATACTAGAGAGTACGTGCCATGTGCAGTGTGTTACAGCCAAGACTAGAGGTGGATTGCAGGGTATAGACACTGTTAGTGGTGTCTGTGTCTCTCTCAGGAATAAATAAATAAATTTTAACAAAGGAGTGGTAACCTTAAAGTTCTACTACAGAACTCTGGATTATTATATCAGGCCATTTATTAATTTTGTTTTTTATGGCTGAGGAAAAAGCAGCTACTGGATAAAAGCAATTTTCTTTATAAATCTTTTCATTATCATATTATTCTCATTAGCATTGAGGCTATATTTCATGTTCTGTTTAAGATGAAGTTTGTTTAAAGTAAGTTCTAAAAGTAAGTATAGTTTTCAAAACTTGACTATCCTGCAATTTGTCATAACACATGTATTTTTTTCTTTTTCTTTATTATTATTTTTTTAAATTTGCCAAAGGGTATGTGCGATAGCTGTGGAGAGAGAGAGAAAGGGGATGTGAGAAATCACCTCCTATGAGAGATGGCTACACTGCAGTCTCTTCTCCTTCATTTCTCCTTTTGGGATTTTAGGCACACACATATATCCAGCATGATTTTCAAGCTGCCAGGTCCAGGACTCAACCATGCAGTAGGCCTTGTGGACTCTAGCAACCCCAACCACCATGCAACCGGCTGGTCCACTTCTAAGTGTATGTTGTCTGTGAGCCTTCAATGTCTGCTTTAATTCTTGTATTTTAAGCCCATGTTAATGGGCAGGTGAGATCATTTTTCTATTTTTGTATCATATTTACATAAAACATTTTTTCAGCATTGCATTTATTTTTTAAAATTTATTTATTTATTTGAGAGTTTTTTGTTATAGGACGCGTGTGCTCACCAGAAAGACAGAAACAGAGAGATAGAAAGCGAGAAATCAGCCCCCCGGGGGTATGGCCACACCGCAATCCCTTCTCCTCCATTCTCCTCTTGGGATTTTGGGCATGCACGCACACGTGCCCGGAGTGAGTTTAAGCCACTGGGTCTGGGACTCGAATGGCGGTTGACTACATGGGAGTCCAGCGACAGCCTTTACACCACCTGCTGGTCCCAAAATAATTTCATATTTATAGCCTGCATCCTCATGCTCAACTCCTTCAATTATTATAGAAAGAGGGTAAGTCACAAAGGGCAGAAAGATAATAGTAGGTTTTACAAATGAATTCTAATGCCACTGACTAATAAAATTACATTTTGCTTTCCTCCATTCTCATTATCAATTTATGAAACGAAACTCATTCAAATATGTGTTTACTAGCAAAAGCTATTGTCTTTTATTTTCCTCACACATGCTGTTTTACTTTTGTCCCTTTCCATGCTGATTCTTTTGGCCACCCTTGTGAAAAATTATCTTTTATTTATTTTTTAAATTACTACTGGGCTGGTATGCTCTCCGGAGAGAAACAAAGAAATAGTGTGGGTGGGAGGAGAGGGACAGAGCATCCCAGTGGAGCAGGGTCATGTTGCAATCTCTTCTCTTTTCTCCATTCTGTCAGGATTTGGGACACATATTCTCAGCGTGTTTTTCAAACCACTAAGGTCAGGATTTGAACTGAAGTCAGCTATGAGGGATCCAGCTTTCTTAACCACTAGGCAATAGGACTACTCTTTTAAAAAGTGAATAAATGTTGAGAACTTACAAAAGCAATTGTTACTATAGCCATCAGTAAAACAGGCTGTTATTGCAGTGAGGCCAGAGTATGGGTGGTAAAAGAATTTACCAGAGGCAGAATTTACCAGAGCAGAAGCTAGGGCTTAACAAGAGTACCGAGAGTACTAGGCTGGCAAGACCTGAGCAGATCCACTCCTTGTGGCAAAGAATCTCTTTTTATAGCCTTGATCATATGGAGCAGGTAATAGAAAACTTTGTAAGCTTGGGCCTGGGTGGAGATGGGCAGTTGTAGGTAGTGGCACTAGAAGAAGCTGGAATATCATCTCCTTTTTCCACTTTAGATGGTGTCTGTTTCTAGTGTTGCAAAGCATATCTTGGGGCTTATCTTGAGCCCTTTCATCAGCCGTGAGTTTACTTATTATCTTATGAACATTCTACATTTATGATTGGATAATCAGAGTCCATTTTTTAAAATAAATTATAGACGAACAATTACCGACAAGTAATGAAAGTGAAGATGATGAGATTTTCCGAAGAAAAAGTAAAAAACCAAGAGGAAATGTTTTAAAGTCACCTGAGGTGAGTCATTCAGTAATTACAATAATATAATCATATAAAATACTTTTTTTTGTTGTTTTTATGTATTTATTTATTTATGTCATGCAGGATCAGAAAAGTGAAGTTGATTCTCCACTTCATGCTGTCAAAAAACGCAGGGTTCCTATAAACAGAGTAAGTAAATAACGGATGATATATAGAAAACAAAATTCCATTTGAATAAATATTACAAGAAAAAATATATAGGCAAATATAGGTATATTCGATCTTATAAGCATTAAAGTTAACAGAAAAATTTACATATCCTATGTGTTTAGAATTTCTATCTTCTGTTTGCACAGATATACTTGCTGTAAAATTTTCTTAGCAGAGTAAATACAAATGTTAAATAATTTTATATTCCCTTTACAAATCATCTTGTTCTTATGATTATACTTAAGCAATTCAACAAATGTTTACTAAATACTTGCTATGTATCTAATGTGTGAAATGCTGGTGACATTATAAAGAATATATCCTGATGCTGTTTTAAGTCACCTATTGTCTAATAGAGATAGATAAGTGAACAATTGATTGATGAGAAAGGGTTAGTGCTTAGCCTAGCTGTTGGCAATTCTGGCAAGCTACTTGAAGGATCACCTTAGTTGAATCTTAAAATCTATGTGGTAGGCAAAAGATGGAGAAGAGAAGACCTTCTCAACAGATGAGTAGCTTACAGAATAACCAGGGTTGGGAAATAGCATCCTTGTATTATTAGATTATAAAGATGAAAGAGTTCCATGGAGAAAAAGTAGAAAAGAATCTAGATCAGTTTTTTTAACTCCTTATTCTTTGAGTGAATTATTGAATGGATCTGAATCCAGGATAACACTGTTTTTTAGCTTAAGCTATTTGGCAAATCTGTCATAAATTTAGGGAAGAAAAGACAACATGGCAATTTCTATGTTTTTGTAATAGTGAAGTGACAGTGTCTCACAATCATTAATTGTCTGAAGTTTAGGTAGATGTGTAGGTCTTAAGGCTAATTGCATCATTCTTTAAGAGACATTTTGGTAGGCCTCATATCAAAATTTGTTATTGTTGTGTTGTTTCTTGATTTGAACAAAGGATTCCTGTACATTGATTGAGACTGATTTGGATGTAATACTAAATTGAAAAACTACATGTACTAATATTATTTATATTAATTTAATGTGTGGCAGCTTGTATTACCTAACATCAGTTTTAAAATTCTTAAGTAATATATATTTATAACATGGTTCTGAGTTATAAGAGCAATTTTATTTTTCTAAGAAGAAAATACTGTGCCCATACTTAAAATAAAAGCAGCAGTCCTTAAGAAATGCACTAAGATAATTCAATTTTTTTATTCTTATGCAATAATTTTGCTAAATTATTATAGTTAGAATTATCATCTAGTGATGAGAGTGAGAATTTTCACAAACCTTATCCACAACTAGAAGATTTCAAAAGTTCTAACAGAAATGCCAGCAGAAGCATCAAAATCCAAAAGAGAAAGAGTCATCTAAAGGTAATTTTATTTTAGTTTATTATTACATTTTCAGTTATTAAAGATCATTATTAGTTTTTACATAAAATTAGATTTCTCTATATATTTCCTTTATAGAAAACTCAAAACTTTAAAAGTAGTTACTTTAAAAAAAAACAAACAACTGGAATTAAAATCTTTTTTTTTTTTGGAATTAAAATCTTAAAGTGAGGCCAGCAGGTGGCAGGCTTGGTGGTTAAACACTGCCCCCACATGGACGGTTAGAGTCCTTGACCCAGCAGCTTGAAATACATGCCCAGTATGTGTGCGCACGTGCCCAAAATTCCAAGGTGAGAATGGTGGAGGAGGGATTTCAGCATAACCATCCCCACTTATGGGTGATTTTTCATTTCTTTCCCTGTCCCTGTCACTCCTTGGTGAGCGAACATGCCCTGTAGTACAAAAACTAAAAAAAAAAGAAGACTTAAAAAATATAACAAAAACTCAAAGTATATGTGTATATTTTTATAAAACAAAACTTTATATAACTGAAAGATCCTTCCTGGGACTGGTTAATTACCTTACAAAAGAAAAACAAAAAACAAAAACAAAATTCAGAATAGGGTGAAATTCTGTTGTTCCAAATCAACTTGTTATACTTCATAGCAAACCTAGTGTCCTAGCGAACAACACAGTTTCATTTTCAAATTCTCATTCATCTCAGTGGAGAATCCACAAGCAGTAGCAAAGATCGTGGCATTAAAATAGCCATTTCTAGTTTTGTAGTAGTTCAATAATGGCCTTATTTCTGGGCAAATTTACAAACCATGCAAGGTGGAAACATAACTTAAACAGGTGTTAAGACTTAAATGAGAGAAGAAAAAACAAATTTAAATACTTTAATAATTTAAAGGAACTGTAGGAATGCCAACCATTTTTAAATCCCCCTTTTTAAAAGCAATTTTTTTGCCTTAAAATATTTCATTCTAAGTGATTATATACTAGCTATCTGTGAAAGATTGTCTCTAATACATGTGTGGTATTTTGGGGTCTTTCGGTGTTGATACTTAATCTTGTAGTATTATGTTTTAATTTTTTTCCCATTATTCACAATAGAGAGCATGTATGCACACATGAGAAAGAGAGAGCAAGCCCCTTCCACAGAATCTAGTCACATTGTGTTCCCCTTTCTCTACTCCTCCAGCCCATTGGACTTGGGGCACTTGTGCGTATGCTTGGTGTGTCTCAGACCAGCTGGGTTGAGGATTTGAACCATGATTGCCATGTGGGATGCAGCTGTTCTTGAATAGCACATTACCTCATGCCACAGAGCCAGCCCAGTATTGTGTTACTTTGAATGACTAGATGAAGAAGAAACTCAAAGTGTAACAAGAACTTGTGGTTCTAAATGAAGAAACTCTGAGCTTTAAAATATTTGCTTTTATACTCATTATTAGTTTTTCTTATTCCTGTTCAATATTCAGATACTTGAAAAGTAATTCTGAGTGCCCTTCCCTTCTGCTCAGTCCTTTGTAGTGCAATATTTTTCCTGGCAAAAATTCATTACCTGAAAGACTCAGGAGACTTTCTGGTTATTAAGAAACATTCAGGAAACTGACCTGCTGATTTGTACTTTATATTACTTATTAGAGAAATTTTAAGTAGATAGGCTACCTTGTCGTTCCTTTTTGTTTTTTTGTTTTTTTTTTTTTTTTTTAGAGATTTTCACTGTAGGGCGCGTGCGCTCGCCAGACAGACAGAGAGAGACATAGAGACAGAAAGCGAGAAATCACCCCCCAGGGGGGATGGTCACGTCGCAATCCCTTCTCCTCCATTCTCCTCTCGGGATCTTGGGCACGCACGCACACGCGCCCGGCGTGAGTTTTAAGCCACCGGGTCCGGGACACGAACCGCGGTCGACTATGTGGGAGTCCAGCGACATAGCCATTACGCTAACTGCTGGTTCCCTTTGTTTGTTTGTTTGTTTGTTTGTTTTGTCGTTCCTGTTTTACAGCTTTCCACCATTATTATTTTTTATCTTAAACACAAGAAATCTGTTTTAGAACTGTTACAAATCAGGAAAGGAAATGATTCTTCATGAGTATCTTCATGTTTTCTAATTTGTCTTAGCGTGTAGCTAGGAAGTTTTTAGATGATGAAGCAGAACTTTCTGAAGAAGATAGAGAATGTGTTTCATCAGATGAAATCGATGAGTCTGAAAATGAACAAGATTCCTCATTACTCGACTTCTTAAATGATGAGACTCAACTTTCACAGGCTATAAATGGTAAATATTGTAACAGCACTTTTAAGAAAATCTTTTCAATGTTCATAATGGGGTTATATTTTAATATTTCAGTCAGTTTTCAGTCTAGTCACAATCAGTAGAATTTAAAGGGAATTAAATTTGGTATGTATAAAATATTTATTTTGACCTTTCATTCAAATTATAATACTTTATTTTAAACTTGGTTGTTAATAGGCCTCTGCTAATTTAAATATTTCTCTCCAGGTTGACCTGGGTGGTTCAAGTGTCAGATGTTCATTTAACAAAGGGTTTAGTGTCTGTCCTATGTTCGGTATTATAAGGCGCTTAATAAAAATAGATCAATGGGACCAGCATTTAGCGTAATGGCTGTGTCGCTGGACTCCCATGTAGTCGACCGCGGTTCACGTCCCGGACCCGATGGCTTAAAAGTCACGCCAGGTGTGTGTGCGTGCGTGCCCAAGATCGCGGGAGGAGAATGGAGGAGAAGGGATTGCAGTGTGGCCATTCCCCCTGGGGGGTGATTTCTTGCTTTCTGTCTCTCTGTCTGTCTGGCAAGCGCACACGCCTTATAGTAAAAAAACCTCTCCAAAAAAAGAAAGAAAAACAGATCAGTGAACAAAATGGACAAAAATCCCTCTCCGTGAATCTCATATTCAAACAGCACTCATGGTATTTAAATTACTTAATAGAAGATAAAAATTTACAAGAAAATGAAAAAAATTGAAAAAGATAAAAAGGATTTGGCCAGCTGTGGGTGGTACAGTGTTAATGCAGTGGTCCACAGAGCTGAAACTACATGGGAAGGTCCTGGGTTTGTATCCTGAGGACTCATGTACATGCTATGTATGTACATATGTTTCCATGATCCCAGCAGGCTAAGGACGGGTGGATTGCAGCATGCAGATCCTTTTGGGCATCCTGTCTCTTTCTCTCTTTGTCTCTGTATCTCTCACCTCTTCTTTCAGAAGAAAGAAAGAAACTTCAAAAAAAATGATTTGGAGTGATTGGGATCGGAGATGTTAATGGACAAGTTGTAGTTTAAATAAGATGATTAAGCATGATTCTCATTGAGGTGGCTTTTGAACAATGACTAGAAGGGGGTTAAGTGGTGTGTGGATTGTTAAAGCTAACAGGGACACAGTGCACACAGCTAAATTTATTATATCTGCTTTTAAGTAAGAAAGAACTGCTTTCAGAAAAATGTATTCAAACAATACTTGAGCAAATTTTAATTCTATTTAGATTTGGATTAACTGTAACAGAGTGAAATATCCTGATATTTCTTCAGTATTTTGATCTTTTACAGACCTTGCCATTTTTTCTGTTCTTATAGTCTCTGGTTAATTTAAAACAGCAAAGTTTCCCGAGGTTCATGATTTTAAAGAAAAAGATTTAAAGGCAAAGTTCTTAGTATATGTCCTTAATACAGACAAGACTGGCAGAATAAGATCTTTTGCAGTTGATATTCCCTGACAGAAGTGACTTTTGCAGGATTGCAGTATAATCCTGGGAAAGAATACTGATATAAAACCTTGGCCAGTGCAGAACTGGGCCTGGCCTATTCGTGGAATGGTATTATGACTATGGTGGGGGAGAGAAGGAAGTGGTAGGAAGTGAAATCAGATTGGTGGTGAGCAGCCAGATCATGGGCTGACATAATTTAGTGAAATCTCTTTAGCTTTTGTGTTGAGAATGGCCCGTATGGGAACAATGTAATGTAGAAGAGTATCTGTTAGGGCTATTGTAGTAATCCAGTTAAAGAATGATAATGACTTCCACCAAGATGGAAGCAATAAAGAGGGTAGGAAATACTGTAGGAAATACTGGATTCTGGATACCTATTTGGGTAGCATTTGAGGCCAGCAGGTGGCGTGGTGGTTAAAGGCACTGAGCTCCCACATGGCTGACCATGGTTTGAGTCCCGGACCTGGTGCTTTGTTTTCTCACTTTCCTTCTCTCTCTCTCTTTCTGTTTCTCTCTGATCAAACTGGAAAATAATAATAACAATAATAAAAAATAAATAAAGTTAAATAAAAGAATAATTCTTTAAAAAAAAAACTGGTAGGATTTTCTGACTGACTAGGAAGGAAAAGAGTCAGTGGCCTTGAGTAGCAGGAAGGATGTATTGTACAATAGTTGCTATTATCTGATATTGAGAAGGCTAGCAAGGAAGGAGTTTAGATGGAGAGTGAAGAGATCTGAAACTCCGTTTTAGATACAATATGTTTGAAATATGTATGATTGTAAAGCTTTTTTAAAAAGTAGCTTGAGGGGCAGGAGGTAGCACAGAGGTTAAGGTGGCTGGATCCCACACTGTAAACTGTAAAGTTCAGTCCTGGACCGAGTGGCTTGAAAATCATTCTAGGCATATGTGCATGCATGCCCAAAATCCCAAGGGCAGAATCAAAAAGGGGTTGTGCCGTGGGCCTCTCTGCTGGGGGGTGATTTCTCACTTTCCTTCTCTGTCTGTCTTTCTCTCCAGTGAGTGCACGTACCCCATATAAAACTACATACATACACACATATATACTAAATAAATGTATCTTGAAATTCACATTATCTTTTGCTATCATGAACCATTTCTATATATTGTACAGTATAACTTTTTAAAATTGATATGCATAAATAAAAGCCTGTGTTTCCCAATTTTTGCTACAGTAAATTTTATGAAACATTCTTATTATTGGCTGTGGTTTTTAATTATTTTAGTATGGTTTCTTTTTTGCCTGAGTTTCTTGTGTGTATGTGTGTCTTTTTTGTTTGTTTGTTTGTTTGTTTTGGGGAGAGGTTTTTACTATGGGGCGCATGTGCTTGCCAGATAGACAGAGAGACAGAAGGCGAGAAATCCCCCCCCCCCCCCCCGGGGGGCACGCCACAATCCGGTATGGCCTTTGCTGCAATCCCTTCTCCTTCATTCTCCTCTCGGGATCTTGGGCACGCACGCACACGTGCCCGGCGTGAGTTTTAAGCCACTGGGTCCGAGATACAAACCGCTGTCGACTACATGGGAGTTCAGCAACATAGTCATTACGCTAACTGCTGGTCCCCCGTGTATGTGTGTGTTTTAATATTAATATAAATCAAGTACAGTCCTAAGGTCTTTATATACATTTATTTTCAATGGAAAGGCACTGTTCTAACTCCTCCTTTTTAGAAGAGATTAAGCTAAGGCAGGGAGCTTAAATAAGTTGTATACTAAATCAGATGATCTGATTTCAAAAGTACAAAGTGTAACTTGCATTTTGGGGTTTTTGCTTTTAGCGGTCTTTCAATATATGCCAAGTATCTTTTGTTTATAATATTTTTACCAGAATAGGTCAACGTTAAATACTTGCCAGTTTTTATTTACATAATTCTGCTATTTTATCTTAAATTCTTATCTTTACAGATTCTGAAATGAGAGCTATTTACATGAAATCTGTGCATAGTCCATTGATGAGCAATAAGTACAAAATGGTCCATAAGAAACATAACAATATAAATATTTTCTCCCAGGTATGAGCTATAGAAATATAAGGGGGGAGTTTTCTGATGGTGATATTGAAATAGGTTCCTGTTAATGAAGCTTCCATATTTTCCTTTAAAAAAACTAGAGTTATTTGGGATCATTTCTTCCCAAAGTCAGAAAGGTGGACTAAAGGAGTTCTCAAAAATCTCTTTTAATCCTAATTTAATCAAATTATGCTGTCTTTTATTTGAGCTAAATAGATTATTTTGTGAAATTTGTGTTTTGGAGTGGCCTAGTGGTTAAGCAAGCCAGATCCCATGTGGCTGACCATGCAGTTCAAGTTCCAGACCCAGAGGTATAAAAATCATGCTAGGCATGTGTGCATGCATGCCCTAAATTCTGAAAGGATGGAGATGGGGAAAAGGGATCGTAGTGAGACCATGCCCCATTAGAGGCTGCCTCTCCCTCTCTGTTTGTCTCCCTGTTTCTGGCAAGTGCATGTACTCTCTAGCAAATTTTTAGAACTTTTGATTTTCTGATTAGGAGAATATTTAAAGGAGTGAATAGAATTTATCATCTACTAGTTAGGTTTTAATTCTCACACATTGTCATGTTTCACTTAAAATTTTTTTCACGAAAATGTTATATTCTAAAAAATTACTGATTTCTTTTATCTATTGATGAAATATTCATATTTTTCTTACTTTTTCCAGAAGGTGTGTGTGCTTTCAAAGAAAAAGAAAAAGACCTCACCACTGGGCTGTCGTCATGCCATAATCCCTTTTCCTCCATTTCTCTATCCCGTTAGGATTTGAGGCGTGCATGCAGATATGCCTGGTGTGTTTTTCAAGCCCTTAGGGCCTGGACTTGAACCACAGTTTGCCAAGTAGGAGCCTAGGTACAGTGCTTACCCACTGCACTGTGAGGCTGACCTACTCTTATTCATTTATTAATTGTAATTTTTGGCATAGTAATATGGTTATTCATATCTCTGTACTCCTTTTGTGCTTATTATATAGCATTTATTATATTTTTTTATTATTATTTACTTTTCTAGCTGTCTGCACTACATTGCAAATTTCTAGAGGGTATAAATCATTCTTTTTCTTCATCCATAAAATTTCATTTTCCTCTATAAAGAATGTACTCAGTATGTTAGTTGAATGAGTAACTAAATTAATATATAAGTGAAATAAGCATTAATGAAGAGCTCATGTGCTTAAAAGAACATGTTAAACACCTGCTGATTGTATTAAATAACTTTAAAGTATTTAAATTAAAATTATTGGCGTTTTTCTTAATAGATTCCTGAACAAGATGAAACCTATTTAGAGGACAGTTTTTGTGTTGATGAAGAAGAGTCCTGCAAAAGTCAGTCAAGTGAAGACGAAGAAGTTTGTGTTGATTTTAACTTAATAACTGAAGATTGCCTTGCAAATGGTAACAAAAAATATAAAACCCGGCGTGCAGTAATGCTTAAACAAATGAGGATAAAAGAAAAGAGCGTGCATTCAAAAAAGAAATTGTCCAGAATTATTTTACCAGATGATTCAAGTGATGAGGAAAACAATGTAAATGATAAAAGAGGATCCAGTATTGTGATTAATCCAAACACTGTTAACAAGAACAAACAACATTGTTTGAATTTAGTGCCTTCTGGGTCTTCATCACAGTCTGAGGTTCATCCTAATCCAGTAGGTAATCAATCTCCAAAGCAGAAACAACAGACACCAATTAATTCAAAGGATACAGTTGCTGAAGTCTTGGATTTCAAACCTCAAAGCTGTAATAAAATCAAAGCTACCTCGCCATCTTTCACTACTGTTGATTCACAGAAAGACTGGAGAAAATTTCCACTTGAGTTGAAGGTATCAATCAAATGAAAGAAGAAAACTTTTCATATGCTAACTGAAAGTGTTTTTCTTTTCTGTTTTTACTTTCTTTTTTTGTGTTTTGTATTAAATAACTAAGTCAAAGCAAAATTAGCAAAAGATATTTGAAGAAAATTTCAAGAAAGTAGTTACATTAATTATTGGGTCATCAGGAAAATCATAATGCATTTTTGCATAGGAAAACAAAAAACCATGTAATTACTTTCCCAGTGACCCAATATATGGGTTATTCAGGGATGCTTAGGTTTTAATTTTTTAAATGTGTTAATAGTTTTCTTAATAATATTCAGTAAGAAAATGTTGTGATTTTATAAAAGGGATATAAAAAAATACAAAAAAAGTATAAAGAGGATATAGAGCTTCCTATAAGGTGAAATTGACAGTAAATGTGTGCTTAGAACTAATTCCTATATATAATTTTTTAAACAATTGTTTTATCTAACTTTATTTATTTATTTATTTATTTTTTGAGAGGTTTTTGCTGTAGGGCGCGTGCGCTCGCCAAACAGACAGAGACAGACAGACAAAAAGCAAGAAATCGCCCCCCAGCGTGGATGTCCACGCCGCAATCCCTCCTCCATTCTCCTCTCAGGATCTTGGGCATGCACGCACACGTGCCCGGCGTGAGTTTTAAGCTGCTGGATCTGGGACGCAAACCGTGGTCAACTACGTGGGAGTCCAGCGACATAGCCATTACGCTAATTGCTGGTCCCTTTATTATTTGTTTTTAATTTGACCAGAGAGAGACAGAGAGGGGTGAATAGGGAGAAAGGAAGCCACCTGGTCTGGGACTAGAATCGTGGTCGACCCTGGGGGGGGGTCTAGCACCCTTAACCACCACTCCACCTACAGGCCCCACAGATATAATTTTTATTTGCTCTGAAAAGCTTCAGGTATATAACTTTTTTTATTGGGGGACAGAGCGCAACTGAGTTTCCTTTAAATTTCTTTGTTTTCTTACAAGAATACTATACATTCTTATTAACTACAGTCAGCATGTTGAACAGTAGATCTCTTCAATGTCTTCCTCCTACTGAAATTTTGTATCCTTTGACCATTATCTCTGCAACACTCCTATTCACTACATGCCCATCCCCAGCCACTATAGTGGTTTTACTTGAGATTTTTTAGCTTTATAATGATGTGAAAGTGACGTGTTCAGTAGAAACTTTACTTCAAATTTGGAGTATTTAACATTGTATTATAAAACAGGTTTTGTGTTAGATGATTTTGACTAAGCTAATGTAAGCATTCTGAGTACCTTCAAGGTAGATTAGACTAACCTAGTAGGTTAGGCACATTAATTGTGTTTTCAACTTTATTTTCACTTTTTAGTTGGTTTATTATAACATTACCCCATTAAAAATGAGGGAGCTTCTTTACCTAATTTCTTTGAGCTTCATTATCCTCACCTATTGTATTAAAGATAGTAATTCCAAGAGAAAGCATGAAAGTAATATATACATAATACTTTGCTAGCCAGTAATCACTGTCTTTTTTTTTTGTCATAGGGTGCATGTGGTCCCTGGTCTTTCCCAGAAAGAGGGAAAAGACAGAAATCACCCCCTAATGGTCATGGCCATGCCGCAGTCTCTTCTCTTCCCTTCCCTGAGCATGTGTGCATGTACACACACCGGGCATGTTTTTCAGATCACCAGATCTGGACTCCAACCTCTCAGTCAGCTGTGTGGGGTCCAGCACCCTAACCACCATGTCACCTATTAGCCCCTTGTCTTTGTGGGTTTTTTTGTTTTGTTTTGTTTTGTTTACTATAAGGTATGTGCATTCACTGGAGAGACTGAGACAGAAAGTGAGAAATCACCCCTGGGGGAATGGCCATGCTGCAATCCCTTCCCCATTCTTTCCTAATTTTGGGCAGGCAGGCACATGCGCCTGGTGTGAATTTCAAAAAGTCCAGAACTCGAACTGTGGTGAACCATGTGGGAGTCCAGCACGTTAACCACTAAGCCACCTGCAGTTCCTGTTTCTTTATTCTTTCTTTCCTTTTTTTTGTTTTAAGGTTTTTGCCATAGGGCACATGTGCTGATCAGGGCGAAAGTGAGAAATCACCCCCTGGGGGGGATGCCCATGCTGCAATCTCTTCTCCATTCTCTTCCTGGGATTTTGGGCACACACACACATGCCCAGCGTGATTTTCAAGCCACTGGTCCAGGCCTGTAATCGTAGTCACCCATGTGGAAGTCCAGCAGCTTAACCGCCACACCACCTGCTGGCCCCTTTGTTTTCATTTTTTAACTGATGCACAAATTTTCCCAACTTTGTCCAATAATACCTTCAACATCACTTCTAAATGCTTGACATAATTCTAGTAGTCTTTGGCCTTTTAAAATGTATTTATTTTTAATTTGCTTCAGGGTGTATGCACTTGCAGTAGGGAGGGAGGAAGGGAGGGAGATAAAATAAGAAAGCACCGTCCAAGGAGAATGGCCATGGCACAGTTCCTTCTCTATCTCCTCTTGAGACTCTGGGTACATGAGTAGATGTGCCCAGCATGCTTTGCAAACTGCCAGGTCCAGGACTCCAGCTAAACAGATGGTCCTATGAATTCTAGCTGCCTTAACCATCATGCTACCTGCTAGCCAGATCCTAGTAGTCTTTGGTAGCTTCTTTGCTGTGTAATTTTGTAAGCTATCCCAGGTTTGTTTGCTCATTTCCTGTTCTAATCCTGAAAGCATTTAATTCTCTGTTACTTACTCTGAGTGCTTGGGGATACTCATCTTTGTTCTATGGTATGATAAGGTATATCAGGCTATCTTTAACATTTATTTCTTTTTTTAAATTAATTGTCAGAGAGCATGTGTGCTCACCAGAGAAAGAGAAAGCACCACCACACTGGGGCATGGTCACGCCATAATCTGTTCTCTTCCATTTCTCCATCTTGTCAGGATCTCGGGCATGAATGTACACGTGTCTTGTGTGTTTTTCAAGCAGCCGGGCCAAGATTTGAACTACAGTCAGTCATGTGAGCTCTAACTCCCTTAGCTCCTAGGCTATGGGGCCAGCACTATCTTGAACATTTCTGCTTTAGATAAAGAGATGGCTATTTTTCCAATTTGCCCTAGTTTCTTTTACTGGAAAGTAGATTTTGGTGCCCTTTCGTACTGAGCTGCTTTATGTTTCTAGGCTTTTTCAGTGGTCAGAGCTAGGGAACATAGCATATACACATACATATGTACACACCAAAATACATCAAGTTCATGCTGATTTTTCAAATTTAGGAATACCGAGTTTTCATTTACTCTTTTGAATGTTAAACCTTTATCTCTTCTCCCATGCATGAAATTCCAGTTCTCAATAATACAGAGAATAATGTAATTAATATATAGTTAATTTGTTTTATCCTCATCATGTAACAGTTTCAGAATAACAGTAACTATTGTTACCATCTATAGTTACTAAAAAATTATTTTTGTAGCAGTTCTTTCTTTAGTCCAAATAATTTATTCTCTCTGATTAGTCCATCAACTAGATTTTATATATATATATATATATATATATATACACACACACACACACACACACACACACACACATACATATATACATATATATATATGTTAATTTGTTACATTTTATTGATTGAGAGATTTCTGCTATAGGGATTGTATGCTCACTAGAAAGAGAGAGACAGAAACAGAAAGCAAGAAATAACCCCCCAGAGGAATGGCCACAGTGCAATTCCTTCTCCTCATTCCTCTCTTGAGATCATGGGCACATACACACATGTACCCGGCTCGTGCTGCCAGGTCTGGGACTCAAACCACAGTCGACTACATGGGAGTCCAGCACTATCTGCTGGTCCTGTCATTTTATTTTTATAGATTATTTTCTGTTTAATTTTGGTTTATAATTATATAACATATTTACATGTCAAATTAAAAATCTATAAAACAAATATATTCAAAGTTATCTACCTTCTATTTTGACCCTTTACCTTGTTCCCTTCATACAAAAGTAATAATTGAAAAAATGCATTGTTTGGATTTTTCTACTTTTTGAAATATATACATACGTGCATTTATATTTTTAATTTCCACTAGATAAGTAGTAGCTGGCTGGTCAGTCCTGTAACCTGGTGGATAAGGGAGCCAGATTTGACATGGTTGATTGTGGTTCAAATCCTGGCCCTGGCAGCTTGAAAAACACACCCAGCACATGTGCCCTGAATCCTGACAGATGGGGAAATAGAGAAAGAGGGGATTGTGGTGTGACCATGCCCCACTGTGGGGTGCCTTCTCCCCCTCCAGGTCTGGTTCTTTGGCAAGCACACAGCCCTCTGGCTTATAAAGAAAAGAAACAATACAGAAAAAGAAAGAAAAAACACCCAGATGAATAGAGATACTATACACAGTTTTCTCCACCTTGTCTTTTCACTTAAAAATATATCCTTGGGAACTAACCAATGGCATGGTGGTTATAATAGCTGGATCCCACATGGCCAACTGCCCAGTTTGAATTCTAGACTAGAGGCTTAAAAAACATGCCAGGTGCATCTGCATGCATACCCAAAATCCCAAGAGGAATGTGGAGGTGTAGGTATCATGGTGTGGCCAAACCCCTTGAGCGGGGAGGGGTGCTTTTATACTTTTTCTCTCTCCAGTGAGTGTACATGCCATACAGGAAATTGAAAATAAAAAATATATATCCATAAACTCATTTTCTTGTATGTTATAGATATATATATATATATATATTCCTTATTATTTTTTACATCTGTACCATCAGCAATTAATATTTAAATGTATTTGGGCGTTTTGTTTTTAAGTTTTATTTATATCTTCCATGAGCAAGCAAGGGACAGAGAGACAGTATTTCCAACACAATTTAGATGTTATGATCTACCCCCAGCCTCAGTCAGCCCTGAATCACAGGTACACAGATGTCTTGTGTACTCAGGGGAGTTTCCACACCTTCCCATAGAGGTCTGCATCGTAGAATATTGCATTTAATGCTATTCTACTGTCTGGTCCCTATTTGAGTTTTTAATTATCATAAATAGTCCTAGAGTAGGGGCTGGCAGGTGTGGCATGGCGATTAAGGTTCTGGATTCCCACTTGGTCAACAACATTTCAATTCCCAGACCAGTGACTTGAAAATCATGCTGGAGTGTGCGTGTGCGTGCCCAAAATCTTGAGAAGAGAATGAAGGAGATGGGATTACGGCATGACCATACCCCACTTGGGGGTGGGGGGGAGGTGGCTTCTTTCCCTCTCTTTGTCTCTCTCAGCTGAGCATATACATCCCTTGGCAAAAACCTATAATAAATAAATAGTCCTATAACAAATGCGTGGCTTCTGAAATTTCGCAAGTGCAGCTTTGGGATGGAATCCTTGAAGTGAAGTTGCTGTAAATGGTGAGGTGCTTCTTTCTTCTCCACAGGGGTTGTACCATTTCTTATTACTACCAGCAGTATTAAAGAACTCCTGATTCCTCCAAATCATCAACAAAGTTGTCTGTCTAGTTTCAAATTTGCATTTTTTCATCCAAACAAAGTTGAAAACACTTTTCATAAATTCCATATATTCAACATGGCTCAAAAGTGATTTACATTTCTTTTCTGAGAGCACTTTTCATTACTTGTTTGAAGTTTTCTGGTATTGTGTATTGTGGTTACAAACCATCATAAGGGCTGAAGAGGCAGTTTGTGATATCAGTTCTGGGAGGATCCCGCTCACCTTATACCAGATAGCAAGATTTAAAAGTGCTTTTTTTTCTTTTTGCTTTTAAAAAATAGATTTATTTCCTATTTACATGAAATGTTTATCTATTTTTGCTTGGGGCAAGAGTTTACACCCCTAGCAGTGAACATGTGTCCATGCCTTATGCTTCTGTCAAAGGAATTTAGCAGGTACTTTACAAAGAAGTAGGCTTGTTCTGACTTCATTGTTTCCAGATTCTCACTTTATTTTATGGTCAGTATGTCATGTGTTTTAACATACTTTTTTTTAAAGGGCAGATTATTTAGCAGGTTTGCTTGTTTTCTGCTAACCAATATTTGGTTATCTAATGTGGCAATTTAAAAAAATAATATCTGGTTTTCCTATTTTTAAAGGTAAATTCTAACCTGCTTGTGGGCTATTATTTAGCTATCCATTCATTATTTTTCCCCTAGGCTAAAAATTAGAATATTATTTTCCTTTTTAACACTTATTTTCTTTCCTGTTTAATTTGAGCTTTTTTCTGTTTACTCTTTTTTTTTTTTTTTTTTTTTTGAGAGTTTTTTGCTATAGGGTGCATGTGCTTGCCAGAAAGAGAGAGACAGAAAGTGAGAAATCACACCCCCAGGGTGGATGACCACACCACAGTCCCCTCTCCATTCTCCTCTCGGGATTTTGTGCACGTAAGCACATGCTCCTGGTGTGAACTTAAGCCACTGGGTCCGGGACTCAAACTGCGGTCAACTACATGGGAGTCCAGCAACACAGGCATTACGCCAACTGCTGGTACCCCCTCACATCTTTCTCTTCTTAGCTTTTGTTGTTAATTATAGCTTTACAATATTTTTGAGTTACAGAAATCACGGCTTCATCTGTAGTCACTTTGGTGTTGTGTTGAAGGAAGAAAAAAGAACATTATTTATCAATAAGGAAAATCAGTTTCTGGTGTGAGAAGTCTATGGTGCTAACATAATATTGAATCTGATTGTGATCAATGTTTCCCACTTTTTCAGGTTGGTAGTGCTCTGGAGGATTCAAGCACTTCAGGGGTATACTGTTACAATTCAAGACCTCATACTGCCAGAAAGAACACTTTTCTTGGACTTCCACAGGAAGGAAAAAGCACCTGTATTCTTGTAGATAGTCATGAAATCACTTCTGGTTTAGAAGTAATTTCTTCCCTAAGAGCAAATCATGGGTTACAAATAGAGGTTTGCCCTCTTAATGGCTGTGATTACATTGTGAGTAACCGCATGGTTGTGGAAAGGAGGTCTCAGTCTGAGATGTTAAACAGTACCAATAAGAAAAAGCTCATTGAGCAGATCCAGCACCTGCAGAGCATGTTTGAAAGAATATGCGTGATTGTGGAAAAGGACAGAGAAAAAACAGGTTTGTTTTTTAAAATATTGTTTAGAAGACTTTAAAGGAACTTGAATGGCATTTAATTCATTCTCCTATTGGGATGTGGAAAACTTACTACAGTATAAATATCTGACTTGTGAATGTCGCTTCATATTTTCATAGAGTCATGGTCCAGTAGTGTATTTAAATGCACCTTAAGAGAATTGAAGTAAATAATCACAAGGCTTTTTTCAAGAACCCCAGAAAGGATGAAAGCCTTAAATAAAGCAGCAATTGGGAAGAGAAATAGAACTCAGAATATGTTTAGGGATCAGGATTAGAAGTTGTGGGAGGAGTTGAGAATTAGTCCCAGCTAACAACTTCTCAGTAATGTGTTAGGTAGTGGTATCATTCACTTCAATTATGAATATAAGAGAAGGATATTTGAGGGGCCAGAGGAACTCAATTTTGAACATGTTAAGACTGAGGTTTTTTTTTTCTTTAAAGAATTATTTTATTTAACTTTATTTTAATTTGACTAGAAAGGGACAGAGAGAGCGAGAGAGAGAGAGAAGGAAAGTGAGAAAGAAAGTCACCAGGTCTGGGACTCAAACCATGGTCGACCATTTGGGAATCCGGCACCCTTAATCACCACACCACCTAACAACCCAAGATTGGGTTCTAAATGGATCACTGAAATGGGTACCTAGGATAAATTTGGAAATGCAGGATTACAGCTTCAGTTAGGGAATTTCTATGGTATTATTTAATTGTATGAGGAGCCCCTGAGAATAGTGAAAAGATCATGGAATATGGAATCAAAAGACACTGATTTCTGGTTTCCCTATAGCTCTGTGACTTTGTGTTCACAAGTCAGTTAGTCCCTCTGAGGAACTAGTAACACACTCATTCTGCTCATCCCTTGATGCTATGAGGATTAAAAGCTATTATCAAGAACTGAACTGTATCTGAAATAGTTTATATAAGCCACTGGTTTGGGAATTGGGTGACTTTTTTTCCCCATTCTTTATTGGTTATGTTAAAAAATTATTTAAAATTTTTTAATATTACATTTAATCACATATATCTTTACAGTGTATAACATTTCTTTTTCCATCAAAATTACCACACATATCAGTTAAGACTAAGGCATTACTATCCGCATCATCATCAAATAGCTTTTCATTTTTTTCAGACAGAAACAGACAGAAAGCGAGAAATCACCCCCCTAGGGGATGGCCATGTCGCAATCCCTTCTCCTCTATTCTTCTCTTGAGATCCTGGACACACACACACACACACACACACACACACACACACACACACACACATACATACACATATGCCTGGCGTGAGTTCATGCCACCGGGTCTGGGACTCGAACCATGGTTGACTACATGGGAATCCAGCAACATAGCCGTTAAACCAACTGCTGGTCCCGTGCCACACTTTTTCAATCCATTGATCTGTTCGTGGACATTTGGGTTGGTTCAATGTCTTAATGTCTTAACAATCATGAATAATACTCCAATAAACTGAATATGCAAGCACTTTTTTGACTGAGCATTCTCCTGTCTTTTGGGTAGATACCTAGAAGTGGAATTGCTGGATCAAAAGGTAGTTCTATTTGTAGATCTTTGAGGAACATCCATATTGTTTTCTACAGTGTCTAGACCAATTTACATCTCCACCAACAGTGTAGGAAAGTTCCTCTTTCACCCCAACCCTGCCAACACTTATCACTTTTTGAATTTTTAATCTTTGCCATTCTGACAGGGGTTAGATGGTATCTCATTGTGGTTTTAATCTGTATCTCCCTTATGAGGGATGTTGAGCATTTCCTCACATGCTTTTTAGCCGTTCATATGTCCTCCTTAGATTTTTGTTCAGCTTATTTTCCCATCTTTTAATGGGGTAAATTTTTTTTTTTTTTTCAGGTAAGCCTCTTGGGTTCCCTGTATATTCTGGTTATCAGTCCCTTATCTGAGGCATAGTTTACAAAAATATTCTCTCATTCTGAGGGTTGTTGATTCTCAGTAATTACTGTATCTTTTATTGTGTAGAAACTTCTTAATCTAATATAGATCTACTTGTCTATTTTAGGGATTATTGCCCATGCTTTAGAAGTCTTACATAAAAAGTCATTGCCAACCCCAGTGCCTCCCACAGTTCCCTCAGTGTTCTCCACCAGTAGTTTTTTCAGTTTGAGGTCTTAGGTTCAGATCTTTGATCCATTTTAATTGATTTTTGTTAATGGTGAAAGATGGGGATTCAGTTTAATCTTTCTGTAGATGGATACCCAGTTTTTCCAGCAACATTTGCTGAAGAGGTTTTCCTTCACCCTGTTAGTTGACCGACATCCTTTGTCAAAAATCAATAGGCTGTAAGCTTTGGAGTTTATTTCTGGGGTCTCTATTTTATTCCATTGGTCCACCTGTCCTTGTGCCAATACCATGCTGTTTTGATTATCACGGCTTCATATTATATTTTGGGGTTAGGGTGTGAGATGCTACCCACTCTTGTGCAGGATTGCTTTGGCAATATGAGGTCTTTTATGATTCCAGACAAATTGAATAACTGTCTTTTCTAGATCTGTGAAGAATGTCTCTGGTATTTTGATTTGAATCCCATTAAACATGTAGATTAATTTGGGTAGAATTGCCGTTTTGATTATATTAATTCTTCCAATCCAGGAACATGTGATGTCCTTCCACTTTTTTGTGTCCCTTTCAATATCTTTTTAGAGATGTTCATAGTTTTCTTTGTAAAGGTCTTTGATTTCCTTAGTTAGGTTTATCCCTAGGTATCTTAGACATTTTGTGGCTATGGTAAAGGGGATTCCTTTCTTCAGATCTACTTTGCTCAATTTGTTTGTTTATAGAAATGCTGTAATTTTTTGGATGTTGATTTTGTATCCTGATACTTTACTGTATTTATTTCTTTGAGAAGTTTTTTTCATGGGAACCTTTGGGTCTTCTAAGTATATCATCATGTCATCTGCAAATAAAGATAATTTCAACTCTTCTTTGCCTATTTGAATGCCTTTTATATTCTCTTTTCTGATTGCATTGGCTAAGACTTCTAGCACTATATTAAAAAGCAATGGAAGAAGTGGGAAGCCTGGTCTAGTACCAGTTTTTAGTGGAAAAGCTTTTAGCTTTTCTTCATCAGTATAATGTTAGCTATAGGTTTTTTAAATATATGCCTATTACTATGTTGAGAAATGACCCTTCTATACCAATCTTGCTGAGAGTCTTAATCATGAAGGGATGTTGTATTTTATCAATGCTTTCTCTGCATCAGCTGAAATGATCATATGGTTTTTATCTTTCTTTCTGTTAATATGGCATATTATATTTATGGTCTTGCATATGTTGAACCACCTTTGCATCCCTGGAATAAAGCCTACCTGATCATGTTGAATAATCTCTTTTTATATGCTGTTGGATATGATTTGCAAGTATCTTACTGAGAATTTTTGCATCTATATTTATCAGAGATATTGGCCTGTAGTTTTCAATTTTTGTCATGTCTTTATCTGTTTTAGGAATGAGGATGATGGAGGCTTCATAAAATGAATTTGGAAAGTTTATTTCCTTTTGGATCTTTAGAAATAATTTGAGTAGAATGGAGGTTAACTCTCCCTTAAAAGTTTTGTAGAATTCAGAAGTGAAGCCATCCAGACCTGGGCTTTTTCTTTGTTGGGAGGTTATTTATGACTGATTCAATCTCATGGCTTATTATGGGTCTATTCAGGTTTTCTGTGTCCTGCTGATTTAATCTTCGTAGATTATATGCATCCAGGAATCTGTCCATCTCCTCCATGTTCTCTTGTTTGTTGGCATATAGTTGTTCATAGTATCCTCTAATGATGTTTTGTATTCCTATTCTGCCTTTTGTAATGTTATCTGTTTCATTATGTATTTGATTTATCTGGTTACTTTATCAGTCCAACTAATAGTATGTTGATTTTATTTCACTTTTTTCAAAGAACCAATTTTTGCTTTCATTTATTTTCTGTATAGTTTGCTTATTTTGTTTCATTTATTTCTACTTGAATATTTATTATTTCTTTTTGTATGTCTTTTTTGTTGTTGTTTATTTAATTCCCTGAGGCATAATGTTAGGTTGTCTATTCTCCACTTTTCCATCTTTTTCTTACGCACACTAATTGCTATGAATTTCTTTCTCCTGACTATTTTTGCAGTGTCCCATACATTATGGAAACTCGTGTACTCATTATAATTTATTTCCATAAGTTTTTTGGTTTCAGACTTAATTTCTTTAGTAATTAAGGAGTCATTAAGAAGAAAGTTGCTTAGTTTTCATGTGTTTGTGTATTTTCGAGGATGTTTTTTGAAATTAATATCGAGTTTAATTCCGTCATGGTATGAGAAGATGCTGGATATAGTTTCTATTCCTTTGAATCTGTAAAGGCTTGATTTGTGTCCTATCATATGGCCAATCTTAGAAAAGGTTCCATGCTGAGGTGAGAAAAATGTGTATTTTGTGGTCTTAGTGTGGAAAGTTCTATAGATGTCTGTTAAGCCCATTTGATTTACAGTATCCTTTAGATCCTGTATCTCTCTGCTTATTTTTTGTCTAGAAGATCTGTGTAAAGGAGATAAGGGTGTTGAGATCCCCAACAATTATACTGTTGGAATCTATGTCTCCTTTTAGCTCCAGCCGTCTTTCCTTCGCATATTTAGGTGCTCCTGAGTTGGATGCATAGATACTTATGTCTTCTTGATGAGTTAGTCCATTTACTACTATATAATGCCCTTCTTTGTCTCTTCTTACAGTCTTTGTCTTAAAGCTTATTTTGTCCAAAATCAGTATTGCAACTCCAGCTCTTCTTTGATTTCCATTTGCATGGAATATCTTTTCCCAGCCCTTCTCTTTTAGTCTATGTATGTCTTTATCTGGCCAGTCTGTCTCTTGATAGAGAATTTAATCCATTGACGTACAATGTTATTATCAATATTTCCAGACATATTCCTATCATTAAATGGGCCATTTTCTTGGTTGTTTTTTGCTTTCTTATATCCATCTGTCTGACTTTTTGGATCCTCTGCGTGATATAATCTATTTTTAATAGTTTTGAGGGAGGTTTTAATTTCCTATATCATATTCTTCATCTCTAACAATGCCATTTGATTCTTTTTTATGGTGTCTATTTCTTCTTTCAAATCATGAAAGAACTTCCTCAGCTCCTGGAGCTCATTCTCTCTCTTCTCTTGCATCTCATTTAGTTTGGTCACTACAAATATTCTGAATTGTTTATCCAACATTTCCACAAGTTCCATTGTGTAGTCCTGTGGCTGATAAGGAAATATCATTTTCCCTTGGAGGGAGACATTTTGCTGGTTGCTCATATTTCTTGTGCCTCTCAATGGTTCCTAGTCATCTGGTGGTCTATATGTTCCTTCCTAAATTATTCATGGTGTCTCTGAGCATTCAAAGGTGTCCAGCAGAAGGAAATTGGCGATCTCTCTTCTGCTCTGCCTCCCTGTTGCTCACCAGCTCTCTGCACCGTTGTCACTGGTTCTGGGTGACCCCAAGTCCTCTGTTTCTAGAGAACAGGGGTGCCTGATACTGAACTGGTGAGCTTCAACTTAGTAACAAAGAAGAGATTGCACAGTGTGGTATACAAAACACTGTTGTCCTGAGAGAAGGCCCTTCACTTGAACAGGTGTCTGGATGGAGTAGGTAGGGGTGCAAGTTAGTCTCAGAGTCCCAAGAAACAAACCTTAGAGTCCAAAGTTGAGTGTCGGGAGCAGGGGGTGGAGGGGGTGTGTGTGGGGGGTGAGCCACAGGTCCTAGCTGTTAAGCCCTTTAGTAGCAGGGAAGGGTGACTTTTTCATTCTCACTGATAAACTGTGACCTAGTATCAGTAACCCAGTTTTGTTTTTTCATTTTTTAATTTGAAAAGTGAGGGGTGCTACTAGTGGCACAGTGTTTAATACAACTGGACCCACGTGGGAGATCCTGGGAACTTCCTGAGCATGTTGACCATGTACCTGTGTACCAGTAATTCAAGCCAGAAGAGACTGGGGGCAGATCATTATATGAAGACATTGTTGGGAGTGTACCCTTCTTTCTTTCATAGAATTTATATTTGTAAGTGAGGAATAAAAGAAATAGAATTGGCATACAGAGGAAAGCAACATAGCAAAACATGGAGAAGTATGTTTGCAGGGGCAGAGAGAGACTCATGGTAAATGTAAAAAAATGAAGTAGAATATGGAAAAGAAAATGAACAGGAAAGATAGGGAAGTAAATTAATTGGTGAGATGTTAAAATGGTGTGTTATTTACTATGTCACTATGGAATAAGAATGCAATTTATTTTTTCTGTTAAACTAGTACTTAATGGGTGCTAGTATGAAAAATTGTATGAGTAATATGGTCTTTGCCTTCAGGAAATAATTTTCTAAGAATATAAGTTCTCCCTTACTTATTCATCTTATTGATTCTAACTCAAGACAGTCATAAAGATAGTTCTGTTTTATTTTTCAGATACTTGAGGATCACTTTAAAACTCTAGCCGTAGAATCTGGTTTCCCATTAGCAGAATGGCAATAGTTTGCTCAATGGTGTAGATCTTGGGGTAAAGGGTATTAATATTAGTTACTAAAGTTTACATTTTCCTAAATATTTAGGAGACATATCAAGGATATTTAGGAGGACAAAAAGCTATGACAGCCTTCTTACTACCTTAGTTGGTGCTGGAATCCGAATTCTCTTCAGTTCCTGCCAAGAAGAAACTGCTGATTTGCTAAAGGAACTGGCTTTAGTGGAACAAAGAAAAAATGTTGGTATTTGTGTTCCAATGGTGGAGAATCATAACAAACATGAGGCACTTCAGTTTTATTTAAGTATTCCCAATATAAGTTACATAACTGCATTAAATATGTGTCACCAGTTTTCATCTGTGAAGAAGATGGTAAACAGGTATGTCTGTTTTAATAGTTTTAAGTGATTCTTAGAAGCATGTCACAGTATTTTTTATTTATTTATTTTTTTGAGAGTGATTTTTGCTATAGGGCATGTGCACTTGCTGGAGGGACAGAGAAACAGGGAGAAACCACCCCCTACGGGGATGACCATGCTACAATCCCTTCTCCATTCTCTTCTCATGATTTTGGGCATGCACACAAATACATGCGGTATGAGTTTCAAGTTGTTGGGTCTAGGACTCGAACTGTGGTAGACCATGTGGAAGTCCAGCAACCTAACCATTTATGCCATCTACTGGTCCTGAATTACTAGTTTTTGATCACTGATTGAGAAGATTTTAGAACATATATTTAATTAAAGGCCCACCAAATATATTATCTTAGCTCTACCTGTTGTAACAAGGTACCATAATGTGGGTGGCTTACCTGTAACAAACTAATTTCTCACAGTTCTAGAGACTGGAAGTCTGAGGTCAGGATGCCTGCTTGGTTGTGTTCCAGCAAGGGACAGCTTCTGAGTTGCAGACTGATTTTTCATGGCAAAAATAGCTAGCTAGCTCTCTCCTCTCTTACTATAAGGACACTGAGGGCTCTACTCTCAGGACCTAGTTACTTCCTAAAGGCCTCACCTCCAAATGCCATCATACTGGGTTTAGATTCAGTATGAATTATTGAGGGGGCATACACAAATATTTCGTCCATTACAGATGCAGAGATCATTGTTCTGATTTTAAAGGAAACAAGTTTTTGTTTTATTTAAACCAATGCTAACGACATGTCAACTAGATGAATAATACTTAAAAGAGGTGATTTTCTTAGAGGCTATTGTGTTTGGTGTTGAGTATTAAATTTTAAAAAAGAAGTTCTAGTGTAATGGTTTTGTTTTTCAGTTCACCTCAAGAAATTTCTACGCATGCACAAGTAACTTATCAAAAGGCTGAGGAGATCTACAGATATACTCACTATATGTTTGACATGCAAATGTTACCAAATGATCTTAACCAAGATAGAAGGAAATCCGATACATGATCAGACTGCTCAAGATGTGGTGTCAAAGAACTCTCAATACTAAATGAACTTCAGTAATCAATGCTGTGGTTTGTGATTATCAATTTAAATATGTAAATAGAATATTTCCTTGTAACTTAAAATATATTATGTACATTTTATTTATATGTAATGATTTGACTTAAAAACTGACTTTCAACAGTCATTTTGACTAGATTATGAAACTGATTTTTTTATTGACTAAAACAAGATTTATTAAAGATCCTATTGAGGATAGTTTGAGAAAGAAAAACCTAAGTTAGAAATGTGTTAGAATTCTTTCCAAGATTAAAGCACTGTGGTCATTTGTTTGTACAGTAAGTTCAATGTGTCTATGATTGTTGCCAATGTAATGGTCATAAACAATTTTTTTTATATATAAACTATAATACCTCTCTAGTATGTTTTAAATATATCAAACCCAAATATATATATATGTGTGTGTGTGTGTGTGTATATATATTCTGTGTAAAGTATGGATGGGTATAACGAGATAGGAAAGTAGAAATTTTAACTGATACGTTTTTTACCTAAGGTGTGCCAGTCAAACCCTGTTAGTATTACTTTTGTTGTTGAAATATATTCGAAGTTGTATATTGGCTTAGCAACGGATAAATTATTGAATATAAACTTTCATTTTGACCTATTATATTTTTAATGATGCTATTACTGTTTTAAGATGCGGTCAGCAAATGGCATGTGGGTGAAGGCAGCTGGATCCCACATGGCCAACTGTAGTTTGAATCTAGGACCCAGCAGCTTGGAAAACACGCTGGGCATATGTTTGTATGCGCCCAAAATCCCGAAAGGAGATGAAGAAGCGATTGTAGGGAACCAGCAGTTAGCGTAATGGCTATATTGCTGGACTCCCACGTAGTCAACCACGGTTTGCGTCCCGGACCTGGTGGCTTAAAACTCACGCTGGGCGCATGTGTGTGCATGCCCAAGATCCCGAGAGGAGAATGGAGAAGGGATTGCGGCGTGACCATCCCCCCTGGGGGGTGATTTCTCGCTTTCTGTCTTTCTGTCTCTCCCCGTCTGTCTGGCGAGCTCACGCGCCCTATAGCGAAAACCTCTCCAAAAAAAAAAGATTGTCATGTGGACATCCACCTTGGGACATGTTTTCTGAATCCAGCAAGTGCATGTGTACCATAGTCCAAAATAAAATTCCCAGTTTTTTTTAAAAAATTATTTTATTTACCTTTATTTGTTTATTTAAGTTTGATCAGAGAGGGACAGAGTGTGTGAGAGAGAGAGAAAGTGAGAAAGCAAGCCGCCAGGTCCAGGACTGGGAACTGTGGTCTGCCATGTGGGAGTCCAGTGTCCTTAACCACCATGCCACCTGCTGGCCCCGAAAATTCCGTTTTAAGATGCTGAATGTTTTTATCTACAACACATATGGGCTCCTCTTCCTTCTAGTCAGTCTAGTACTAAATTATGGACATTGTTATGAACACGCACATACATACACACAAGTTAAACGTCTTATTTTCTGGTTTTCATATATATCTTTTATCCTGTATATTGTTGGGTACTTGAACCAGCCTCTCAGTGGTTCTTTTCTTACCTGGGATGCAACAAGGGACTTAAGCACTCATCTAATTCAAATTGAGTTTTTCTTTATTAGATGTTTAAAGTGAAGCTCAGAAACAAGTGACTTATCCACATATAAAATGGCAAATCTATTGTAGAACCAGAGCTCAGGAACTAGATACAGTTGTCTTTCATGTTACTGTACTGATAAAGGGGGATTTAACAAAGTTACTCTGTGAACTTAGCTCCTTGGAGACAGGATAAACTTAATTCTTCTAAAAGCAGATGACCTCATAAATCTGCTGTTCAATAATTCTATTAAGGCCAGAGAGAAAAGAAGCACTAGTAAGTTACTGGTTGGTTATAGTTATCAGTTTATTACCTCTCTAATCCTAATCCACCTTTCAATATCTGTTCTGCTATGACTGGACTTTTTTTTTTTTTTTT